TATCTAAGTGAGTGAGTGATTAAATGTTGAATGTGATGAGTTTTCAACAATACTAAATTGAAACTTTATTTTTTTACATGGTTTAATATTTTTTTGTATGTCATTGACACTTTTGGCACTTTTTTGGAGTATTTTCATAAGTTTTGTTTTTTCCTGTAAATGATTCAATAAATACCGTACCGTGACATTCATACCGAGGTATTACCGTACCGTGAAATTCTGATACCGTTACATCCCTATTATATTATATTAACGATTATTATTATACTTGAACGAAAATATTATGTTATATATTTATAGAGTTTGGCTGCATGAGGGGCCGATCGAATGCATTTTTTTGCGTTAAGAGGGGCATCTTTTGAATGGTTTACTAACGACCGCAAGTGTTTTGCGTGCGGCTCATCCCAGAGCAGCAGTGTTTGTGTTGTCAAGACAACTACAGAGAACTTGTAAAGGCAGAGACTAGTGCTCGCTGATTCAAGTAATCCAGAGCTGTATGACTTTACAAATGTTGAATATCACAATATTATTAAATATTACAACTGTAACAACATAGACAGCAACACTCTTGCACAATCAATACCCAGCTGATTCCGTCATTTTCTAGTGACATAAAAAAGAGCACCGAACTTCTTTTTCCCTTGTCAGCATTAAAGTCGGTGAGGTGCGCCTCACGTTTTTGGAATGGAAAAGTGTATTTGCTGTGATCGGCCCCTTAATGTGCAACTGCAACACATGACACGCGAGATGGTAACGTGTAACCACATGTGCCTATAGACATTTGCCAAAGAAGCAAAATGAAAGAAGAATATTGCTGTTTGACACAGACGAGTGATGCCAAACCAGCGCTGATGCTGATCGCCTCCTGGATCTGTGTCATAAACACAACAAATAGGCTTTAGCTTTCATTTTACAGCTTATAAAGCATGCACGCAAATTAATGCAATGTCATATTTAAACAACAAAACTGTAAACAAAAAGTCAACATATGCGCGCATTGTCATTGCCTTTTCATCACCGCAGCGCGCGCACTTGAACCGCGAGTGAGAGAGGAAACCACATTTCAAGACATAATCTTTAAAATAAAGATTTCTATAAAAATGTTGACAGAGTGAAATAATAATAACAGCGGGGCATTAAATAAATGCATATTTTCCGTGGAGCGAGCGGTTTGAGGTAGTCTGCTATTTTTATTTGATGGAAGACAAAAACATATGATTGGAAAAAAACAGCCTATGCCCGTTCTTAAAAAGGATCAGTCAGTGTTTTCATTTTGTAATCTAAATTAATCATTTAAGTGAAAAAATTATTAAGGGCAGACCTATTTATTTATTTATTTTATTCTGTTTTTCTATGCTGTTGGAAACACTGCAGGTGCGTGAAGATGCTGTTGTTATGTTCTGTTATTAATTTGTTCGCATGTTAAAATAAATCAGTATTTTAAAATGCAACATTAAATGTGTCAGACACAAAATAGACACGTCAATTTCTTTTTAAATGTAATAATAATTTAATAATAATCTGACCAGTTAACCGCTAATATTCGATTAACGGCGGTGGTCAGTTAGCAAAATTAACCAAAATGAGCATCCCTAATATATAACTAACTAAAATCCAACATTATTTTAAAGTCATGACATGACATTCATACAGCGTCAAACTCAACATCAGTAGTTGTTTGTCTTTGGTGGGATTTAGGTTGTGTAATTACACTCAAACTGACATTGGGTTTGTGACGTCAACCCGATGTTCATTCAATCATTCATTTTCCTTCGGCTTAGTCCCTTTATTCCACAGCGGAATGAACCACCAACTCATCCAGCATATGCTTTACACAGCGGAGGCCCTTCTATCTGCAACCCAGTACTGGGAAACACCCATACACACTCATTCACACACATACACCACAGCCAATTTAGTTTATCCAATTCACCTATAGCACATTGGACTGTGAGGGAAACCCACACCAACACGGGGAGAACATGCAGGAACACACAGAAAGGCTAACTGACCCAGAAGGGACTCGAACCAGCAACCTTCTTGCTGTGAGGCGACAGAGCTAACCACTAAGCCACCGTGCCCCTCGATTTTCATACACAATTAAGATTCAAAGATCAATGTCAATTTACTGTCTGTATGACATCCAGTGCTGGTTAATGTCCCATTGTGGATATAACCTAACAAAAATATACAAATAAATATTGCGTTCATAAATAGTGTAGATTATAAAACATTACAAACATAACTCAAAACATGTATATTATCAATAAAAACATTAATATGGGTAAATCACAATTAAAATCCCCTGATATTTCCAGAAAATCCATGTGGGAGCTTTGATTAAAGTGACAGATGCTTCTTCAGTCACACTTTACATTACAGCGTTCATGTCAGCGTAATTACATGAGTAAGCACTGAGCAAGCAGTGAACACCACATACTGCATAATTACACTATTATTGTAGCTGTAATTCATCATTTTAACATGAAACATAATCACGCTGTGTTGTTTTCTCCATCGGTCTGATTGATGAGTTCACACCTGAACCGTCACTGAACTAAAACCAGCCTTTAAATAATCAAAAAACCATCTCAGACTTTGAACAGCAAAGCTCATAAAGCCTCTTATTCACACTGAGCCCAAATCTGAACATACCTACTACCTTTTACACAACAAAACCGTGCCTGTGCTTACGGTTTATTACCTATTTGTAACCCCGGACCACAAAACATTGTCTTATGTTGCACTGGTGTATATACTGATATATAAATTGCCATTTAAATAGGGGTCACTTCACGATCAGAGTTCGAATATATATGTATATACACATATATTTCCCTTATTTTATAACATATCCATAGTTATGCGGTGGCAAAGAGTTAGACCTCATTCTTGCCTTCAGACAGAAACAGCAACGAGTGCGGCATGACATCACTTTGTTGCAGAGACGCTATTGGTCAAATGCAGGCAAAGTTGAACATGGAAGCAGCTTAAAGCGGAAAATGCGAGTATGTCTGCGGTCTCGAGGTGTTATGAAGTTAATGATGACAACATTTCCATAGCAAACTGTGAGATATGTAAACTTGGGAGATTGCCTGCCGGGTATTTTAAGTTGAGGTGCTATTTGTTTTTTATCTGATTAGTATTTTTATTTTTTGTAGCACTAAATTCCAAAAGTAAAATAAAATGTATGTTATTTGCTCAAGCTGCCTCACAGAAGTGCTCTGTTTGTTAACAGAGTTGTTGAATGTTAAAATAAGGTGAATTAAATAAAAAAGGAACATCCTGGATCTGTTTCTTTGCTCTATTCTTTTTATTATGTATTATAGAAGTATCGGATCAGGTTTCGGTATCGCTAGATACGCAAATTCAAATGACTCGGACTACATTGAATATATATGCATGAAAATGTGTTTGAAATATTTTTTGTTGAAATATTCGCAGCTGGGCGAAGCAGTGGCGCAGTAGGTAGAGCTGTCACCTCACAGAAAGAAGGTCGCTGGTTCGAGTCTCGGCTGAGTTGGCGTTTCTGTGTGGAGTTTGCATGTTCTCCCTGCGTTCCCATGGGTTTCCTCTGGGTGCTCCGGTTTCCCACACATTCCTAAGACATGCAGTACAGGTGAATTGGGTAGACTAAATTGTCCGTATTGTATGAGTGTGTGTGGGTTGCAGCTGGAAGGGCATCCGCTGTGTAAAAACTTGCTGGATAAGTTGGTGGTTCATTCCGCTGTGGTGACCCCCGATAAATAAAGGGATTAAGCTGACAAGAAAATGAATGAGAATAAACTTGCAGGATTCAATGCTAAGGATTTTTTCTACTGGCCCAATCGGACCAGTGGTTCAGATTTTTACTTGCCATGCCATTTTTGGCTCCACCAAAAAAAAAAAAAAAGTGTCAAAATGTTTGTAAATCCAGAATTTAAATATTTAAAAATTTTTAATAAATTTCTATTGAGCAAAATTGAAAGTGTTTTGAAACAAAAGATGGCTAAGGACCTGCCAAACTGATGGCAAATTTTACTTATTTTTACTCACTTGTTTTTTTAGTCGTTATGTACCCTCGTATTTGTCTGCTTTCAAGACCTTAGGCACAAATGTTTTCCTTTAGCATCATCATTTGATGTTACCGCCATGTTGCTGTCTCTTCCTGTACTAATAACATGCTCACAACATCCAATCAGATAAGAAGAACCAAGAAGGTATTATTTGAAGGCTTGAAAACACAAACTGTTTCTCAATTCAAAGACTGTATTTGTATTGACAAATAGTCACAGGCAAATTAAACTTTAGTGACAAGGCAGCAGTGGCCCGATCGGGCAAGTAACAATCCTGTCTACTGTCCCGAGCATCTCACACGCTGGCCCCGGGCCATCGAGCAGTCCTTATTGTTGAGCATTGACTTGTAACTTTAACTTAATTGGATTGTATTGCAATAATGTGCACCTTAAGTTACTTTGAAACAGTGACTATTGTAAAAAACACTTAAATTGAATTGAATACACTTATATAGAAAGTAAAAATCATCTTCCACAAAGCAATATCGCAAATATCATACGGGAAAATATAAAATCGTGACTATTTTTAATTATAAACATGTAATGCCAGCCCTTTAATCTGGAAAATGTATTATTTTTACCCTCAGATTCCAAATAGTTGTATCTCAGCCACACATTGTCCTATCATAATAAGTCAATGGACATCTTTATTTATTAAATTTTCATAAGACTCATAAATCTCAATGTCCGATAAACTGACTGACAGTTATGACTGGCTTTGTGATCAAGGGTCACGTTTGTCAGGCTAGCTTTTACAATGACCTGGTAACAATACACACATTAAAGCTGATGTTGTGTGAGAGAAACCGACGGGTTTCCATGTAAAACGCTATAAAACCAAAACAGAGCCGTTAAAAGTGTTCAGACTGAGGGACGACACTCAACTGACAGGAACAACGGACGATACAGATACAAAGGGGTTTATTGTCTTTTAACGTGCCTTACCCGAAATCATCGTCCATGGATTTGAAGAAGAATTTGTAGTTGGGTTTATTAAGGACATTTTTGAAGTCGGCTAGAGTGACGTTTTCAGCGGGAATGGGCAGTTTGATGAGGTAGGGAGTCTCCTGCTCGTCGAGGTGATAGATGATCTTGGTCTCCGCCATGGCGGGCCGCTGCTGAGGGACAGGCCGCGCGCATCAGCTCAACAGCGGCGTGCGCTTCCCACTTCCACCGCTGAACGCCGGAGAACGCCACTCAAGCTCTGCGCTCTCCCTTCAGACAGCGACAATAACACCCCAAAACACAGTATCCTTGCTGTCGTAAGTACGTGTCTGATAGTAAACAAGTATTACAGATAATCCTCTGCGTTTTTCTTCCAAAAAAATGAAGCGTAATAATCGCACAGGTCGGTGTTGTCTGCCCTCCCTGTGAATACTGTTGCTTTCTCCTCTCTTCTGTGTCCTTTGGAAACAACTGCCGGCCGATGTGAGATCGCCCCTCCTATCGATTCACCACTGCGCTCCCTCTACAGGACGAGTTATTATTATGGCATATTATACTGCTCTTTGGATGGGATTCATTTCGTTGTTTGACGTCTAGAGGGGAGAAATGCGCTTCTCAGTTACGCAAGGAGACCTTAAATGAAGCCATGCTTGCATATTAATCACGACTCAGATAAACTTGGCTCGTTTTGGCCTAATGTCATGTCTGAATTGATTGGTAAATTAGTTTTAATGTCTTTGAATGTTTACAGATGTGAGCTTGTGATCTGACAGGTCTGCACCTGGGTGTCGTTTCTGGAATTTACCTGAGGAGGTCTGTCAAAGGCTGTTGATTTATGATTGGTGCGCAGATGACGCCCTCTAGAGGATGAAACTGTTACTGTACAGCGGCTCAACTCTGGTGACCTCTGGAGGTGCACGAGCTAATTTTTATCCAAATTACTTTTTAACCAGTTTGACATGCATGCGCTCAGTGGGCTGAATCTCGTGGTCTCGGTTATATTTCACCTCTAAAATAATAAAAACAGGAAATAATATGTAATTACGATATTATATTATTATATATCAATGTGTGTATTGTAAGTGATTATATACACTCACCGGCCACTTTATTAGGTACACCTCACCAGTACCGGGAACTGCCTTTAACCTGGGTCGCTGGTTCGAGCCTCGGCGTTTCTGTGTGGAGTTTGCATGTTCTCCCTGCATTTGCGTGGGTTTCCTCCGGTTGCTCCGGTTTCCTCCACATTCCAAACTAAAGACATGCGGTACAGGTGATATGAGTAAGCTAGATTGTCCGTAGTGTACGAGTGTGTGTGAATGTTTTCCAGAGATGGGTTGCGGCTGGATGGGCATCCGCTGCGTAAAAACGTGCTGGATAAGTTGGCGGTTCATTCCGCTGTGGCGACCCCGGATTAATAAAGGGACTAAGCCGACAAGAAAATGAATGAATGAATATATACTCAGATAAACTTGGCTCGTTTTGGCTTAATGTCATATCTGAATTGATTGGTAAATGAATTTTAAATGTTTTTAAATGTTTACAGATGTGAGTTTGTGATCTGGCAGGTGTATATATATATATATATATATATATAAATCAAGGATCTTGGTCTCCGCCACATGCTGGCTGCTGCTGATATATATATACACACACACACACACTCACATCTGTCTATCTATCTATCTATCTATCTATCTATCTATCTATCTATATATATATATATATATATATTTTTTTTTTTTTTTTTCAGGCAATTCCTGGAAATCCCAAATGCTTCTGTCGCCAAATAGCACCGCCCATTCACAATTGGCGTGAACTTATATTTTATTAAACAACAGAAGCTTGCACTTCAAAATCAAATTGTGGTTGTAAAGATAACGAAGACTGAAGTATGAGCATATGAACAAACAATGACAAAGACTAACAGATGAGACTTCACAGCCCATTTCGTCTCTGAGAGAAAAGGCAAGAAACCCTTTTTATTAAATAACTGAAGTGAATGTAAGCATTTTCTGATACTCCAAGTCCGACTTGCAAAGTACAGTTTGCTTAAAAGTATTCATTGCATAGCCCACAATAATCACAAAACATTTTGTTCATATTACATGGTAATTTCACTGTTAACGCTTTTCTAAACAACGACATTCGTAATTGGTAAACCATTAGTAACCACAAATGCTGTCATTGTAAAAGCATATTAGAAATAATTAAATCGAAATTTCAGTTATTAAATTTATTGTAGCAATTTCAAAACCATTATAAATGTCTAGCAATGTCCTGAATGGGTCACGTGGCTGAAACACATATCAGAGCACAAGCTGACAGGATCAGTAACACATTTACTCAGTAAAGTACACAGTGTTAAAAGAGGGTAGAAAACAACCCTATTTATTGTTGGCCGTGCAGTGTTTAAGCTTCAAGTCAACAAAAGCCATGATTCTATAACTTAGAGAAACTATTCCACTTGGCGATGAGTGTCTGTCATAAAACCTCTTACGCAAGAAGGAGAAATCCAGGGTAGGAAACCTCAAAGTGCTCTCTGATGTCTTTTATTACCTTTAAAAGTGAACCTGTCTTCCACTGTGCTTGTCAGAAAGGCCACCAATGATCTGCTTGGACCCGTCCACCTGTACTAACACCCACCACACTCACTGCACTCTCACAAATAATAAATCTCTTCCCATTGAATATGTACTCATTTAAAGGAAATATGCCTATAAAACAAAATGGAGTGAGTGAAAACACTTTCTTTAAAAAAAAAACTAATCTTGACTCCTGAAAACAACATCTTGTGTTGTCAAAAAAGGGTCACCAATGTCACGCTAGTATGGCTCAAATACACACAAATACAGGCTGTTTGAACATCCACAGTGTTGAGAGGTTCGAAAGGCACTAACTCGTTGCTCCACTTCTTCAGTCTTGATATACCTGAGACTCAATGCTGAGCGGTTAGCACCAGGAAAGAGAAGCTTGAGAAAAGTCAGATTCCAGTTACCAGAAATTAAAATGTTAAGCAAACGATCCATTCGTCGCAGAAAGGCTGAGAGCGTGTGTGGAATCTGCAGGATCTTCATTAGGCCGTGACTGGATTGCACAATGAGCACAAACGGTGTGCATATTCACATCAGCGATGATAACACTGTCCACAAAGGGGGTTCGTCCGGGATTGGTCCTCAAAACATCTGCGCAGCTAGCAAAAAGGAAAGTCTCAGAAATCCTGTCAAGTACTCCAATAGATCGCTCTGTTGTATTGGAGAGCAGATGCAAACATGAGATGATGTGCATAGGCTGGAGGAACATATGCAAAACACACACACACACACACACACACACACCCAAAAGGTAATGGCTAACAGCATCTTTGATGCTGACATACCCCTGCACACAAACACACACAGGTTTTGGTGGTGTATGAGGACTCTCTGTAGGCATAACACAGTTTATACTGTAAAAACTGCTTATTATATAGCCTTATCTGACCCCTATACCCAACCCTCATGGCAAAATTTGAAGAAAAGTATTATTTTTAAGTGTTTTGAATTACAAGGACACATGACATGTCCTCATAACCCACCTCAACATTATCATACCTAGATCTTACCCATGTTATTATACAAATGAGTGTCCTCAAACAACCAAAACCACTACAAACACACCCAAAACATAATGGCTAACAGCATCTTTGCTACTGACATACCCCTGCGCACACACACACACACACACACACACACAGGTTTTGGTGGTGTATGAAGACTCTCTGTAGGCATAATGCATTATATACGATAAAATTGCTTATTATAGCCTTATCTTACTTCTTAACCAAACCCTCACATGGCAAATCTTGAAGAAAAGTATTATTTTTAAGTGTTTCGAATTACAAGGACACATGCTATGTCCTCATAAACCACCTCAACATTATAATACCTACATCTTACGCATGTTATTATACAAATTAGCATCCTCATAAACAACCAAAACCAGTAATGGTAAACAGATGGCAAACAGCATCTATGATACTGAAATGGCCCTGCACACACACACACACACAGGTTTTGGTGGTGTATGAGGGCTCTGTAGACATAATGCATTATATACAGTTAAACTGCTTATTATAGCCTTATCTGACCCCTATACCCAACCCTCATGGCAAATTTTGAAGTATTCTTTTTTTTTAAGGGTTTTGAATTACAAGGACATGATATGTCCTCATAACCCACCTCATCATTATAATATCTACATCTTACCTATGTTATTATACAAATTAGCATTCTCATAAACAACCAAAACCAGTAAACACACCCAAAACAATGCTGACATACACCCGCACACAAACACACACAGGTTTTAGTGGTGTATGAGGACTCCAACCTTCACATGGCAAATTTTTAAGAAAAGTATTATTTTTAAGTGTTTTTAATTACAAGGACACATGACATGTCTTTAAAAACCACCTCAACATTATAATACCTAGATCTTACTTAGGTTATTATACAAATCAGTGTCCTCAAACCACCAAAACCACGACACACACACCCAAAATGTAATGGCTTACAGCATCTTTGATACTGACATACCCCTGCACACACACACAGGTTTTGGTGGTGAGGACTCACTATAGGCATAATGCATTTTATACGGTAAAACTGCTTATTATAACCTTGTCTATACCCAACCATGGCAAATTTTGAAGAAAAGTATTATTTTTAAGGGTTTCGAATTACAAGGACACATGATATGTCCTCATAAATCACCTTAACATTATAATACCAACATCTTACCCATGTTACGTCCTCATAAACAACCAAAACCAGTACACACACACACAATCCTCCATTTTGTTCCACAGCCCTAAGCAGCTTTACGTTTAGCTTATGAAAATGTCTGCTTTTTTTAAATAGACATCCCAGTGTTGGTGAGAGTGTGTGTGTGCATCCATCAGCGAGTGCCTCCCACAATGCATTGCTATGGTCCAAGGAGTTCAAGTCTTGTTTCTGGCCTTTTCAACCCAAAACCCAGAAGTTTTGATCTCATGCGGACACATTGACGTCTCGCAGGGCGATGGTCCCGTTGGGAGGAGGGTCTGTGGGTGAGGAAGGGGCAGAGGGCGCGGACGCCATTAGAGACGGAGCCGTGCTGGTGTTGAGGGCACTGGTTTGGAACAGTATCTGCTGAAGGGTCCTGCGTAGATTAGGGTGCAAACGGGCCTGAGTTTGATAAAACACCTCCACTGCAAAGCACTTCATCACTCCTCCGCACAGATCCTCGTATAGGGGCACTGTGTACATCCGTGAGGTCTAGAAAAGAAAAAATGTTCATAGACACTCAATGCTAAAACAGACCAGATATATAATTTATATCACAATGCTCCACTTTTAAAGGGGCAGTTCAACCAAATAGACAACACCCATTAACTTATTTTCTTTCTATGGAAGTCCCAGCAACCAGCATTCTTCAAAATATCTTCTTTTGGGTTCAAAAGAAAGTCATAATAGTTTAAAACAACACAATGGAGAGTAAATGATGAGGTAATTTTACATTTTGGGGTGAACCATCACTTTAATATAAACAACTGCACATTTGTAAATGCATCAGTGAACTTAGGCCGTACTCACACTATGTACAGTTGCCTCGAACCGGGCCAAAGCACACTTGTCCCCCCTCCCGTCTCCCCCGACGGCCCGCACTCACACTACAATCGGGCCTGGGCACGCTTACGTCATCGCTGCTGCGCTGTTCAGTAAGCGCTCTCGCTCAGCACAGTGGAGATTTCTCTAGTTATACCGCTTCAGTCGTTTGATATGAAGTCAAATATTTCGCCAAACAGTCCTTAGGGATGCGGTGACTCTTAGTCAGATATTTCGCCGAACAGATCAGCCACTTTTGGCGCTAATAAACAATCATAAAGCCCTTGTGCTGCAGGAATGAGGAGGTCTGCTGAAGGTGCAGCTGTCGTGCAGTGAGGGGTTTGCGTCTTTAATAATCTACGGCAGTTTGCATTCATTGAACAATAAGAATGATTAATAAATCCAAATGAAACAGTCCCTTAAAGTCACGTCTCGCTTTCAGTTTTGGGCTTTGGCGCGTTTTGCACTCACAAAACAAACATACAGTGCCAAAGCCCCAGTGAACTGTGCTCAGGCACACCTCCTCCAACCGGGCCAGGGCCGGTTAAGTGACCTGTGCCTGAGCCCGATTCAGCGCACTCACACTTCTCAAACGATCCGGGAAACGGACCTGGGCACGGTTCGGATAGCATAGTGTGAGTAGGCCCTAACTGTAGTAACCAAAATGTACTGCATATCTAATTTCATGTCCTGACATGCATTTTTTAAATACATTAATAATATATTTTATGTGACAAACTTAAGCAATAATTTATTCATTTTATGACGTAAGCTATGTTTGTCGACATTATAGTTGTTGGCAGCATAATAAAATACACCAATGTTCAAAATATAAATTAAGTTATTAATTGTAATGGAAAAAATAAACCAATTGTATGGATTTTGTTTGTTTATTGCCACATCAGAAACTTATGGCTATTTCATGGCGATATCAATATAGATAAGAACATATTACATAATAATAACAACTTCAAAAACAACTTCAGATTTCAATAAGCGTGGATTCAATATAAATAACAATTACAAAAATTTACTTTAAAACATTATATTTGATTTTTCAGTTCCTATTTATAAGGCAAGTGACAATTTTAATTTAAACACAGCTCATCCAATCACAATTTAGTGCTAGAACTATATTTAAAATGACCACTTGATGATTTATTTTCATGCAGTTCAAACTGTCTGACCTGCCAGATCTCACTAGAAAAAGTCACTATTTTACGTATTGTCAAAAAAGTGGATAATTGGTACAAATTCATGATTTCACTGAAAAAAAATAAGACTTTTAAAAGGAGGCATGTCCCCAAACCCCAGCCCCAAAAACAAATATTTTTAACCAAGGTTATCGTACCGCCAGAATCTTATACCAGCCCATGCCTAATTGGAGGGTGAGCAAATCATAGTAAATTGTACGAATGAGATTGTACGATTCATACGAATTAGCCACTAAATCAAAAAGTTACGAATTGCTGTGAGATAGCATTGTTGTGACAGATAAGGATAACATCCGATTTTACCAGTCTGATCTCACGAATAAACTTGACTAATTTACATTTTTTCGGTTTCGTGGCTAATTCGTACAAGTTTAGTCATATGAAGATGTACAATTTTTAAAAAGAGGCGTGGCACCAAACCCCGCCTTCTAAACTCTACATTCATCGGAGGATAAGCAAATCATGCGAAATCACATGAATGAGATTCATACGAATTAGCCACTTCATCAAACAGTTACGAATTGCTGTGAGATGGCATTGTTCTGACAGATAAGGATAACATCCGATTTTACCAGCCTGTACTTTCTCACGAGTAGCTAATTCACACTTATTTATACAAGTTCAGTCGTACAAAAATGTACGATAAGCAAATCATACTGAATTGTACGAATGAGATCGTACAAATTCATACAAAGTAGCCACTAAATCAAAAAGTTACGAATTGTGGTGAGACAGCGTTGGATTTTACCTAGAGGAATTCCTAACCATGGCTTATTACTCATCTTTGCAGTTGAATTATAACAATACACTTTATAAAACGGCAATCAATACAGCATACTTATGACAAAGCAAAAGAGGAAACCAGCCAAACCTGTTCTGATTGACTGGATCTCTTTACACAACATCATAAGCAGTCAACACTAGCTTAGAGTGTTTATTAGAAACTCTGGAATGTGGATGCCCTTTAGGGAAATCTCAGTTTATACCAAAATGGAGGAACAAAAAGCGCCAGGCACTAACTCCTGAATCGTAATCTTTTATAAACCGTCTCTAGCTTTACAGTGTTTGTGCCCTCTAAACACAGCCAAATAAGAGACTGACCTGCTTTAGCTCAGAAGCTCGATCTTCATGCCACACAAAAGGCTCTTACAAATCAATATGAAGATGCTGTGTTCATGTGCTCTTATCAGCCCAAGAGGCACTTCATTCACAAAACTCACATGTTTATGCAGGAAGCTACGAACTCGAGGCAGATCAGGGTAAAAGCTGTTCCGCACCACAATCTGCAGCCATCGAATCTGGACTTCAGCATTCATGTCGTCCAACAACGCAGCGTAGCAGCTTGACAAAAGACTCATCACCTCTGAAAGACCAATCACATTTCACATTACAAGAGAAGAGTAGTCAAATAGTGTGTGCTAGGGCTGAACAATATATCGCTTGAGCATTGATATGGCAATGTGTGTATCCGCAATAGTCACATCGCAGTATTACATTGTTTATTAAGGATTTAATTCGATTTTTTAAATAATTTCTGTACTTGAATGCTGTCATACTTCCAAGAAATCCATAAAGCACTATTTGTTTAACTTGTATATATCGCTATGTCACATTTTTCCAATATCATGTAGCCCTAGTGTGGCCCTGTTCCCAGGGGGGTTCAAAACACCCACCCCTCACAGACAAAGGTTAAGAATTTGTCTCATACATGAGTTCATTTGTCCTATTTTGACCGCTATTGCATCATAAATTGTAGAAATAACCCGTCGAAAAAGGATTTCAGACCGAGTGGAATCCTCTGTTGGGTGTTGCTGCGGTGTGACTTTAGCTAATCAGTTTTGGCCAGTGCACACAATTATTTTTCATGAACACCCAGCTGTGCAAGAAAACATACAATCTCAGGGCTCGAAATGGCGACCGTTTGGTGGCATATGCGCCCGAAATTTAATCTATGCGACCTCATAATATATTTGGGAGCATTTGTGCGACTGCATATAATGGGTCTAGTGCGACCTGTTTTGATTTTTTATAAAAACGTGCTGAATCGCTCTTTCCTGCCGCTGTATTGGTTCATATTAGCTGTCAATCACTCAAGGCATTCCGCTGTTAGATGACAGGGAGGGAGCTTTAATAACCGTGAGAAATGCAAACGGCTGAAGAGTAAAGAAGCACAAGTTTGTAAACTCCATCTAAAGTTGAGGCGCAAATGAAAGCGATCATGACATGTGGTGAATGTTGATCCGCCAACCGAGATCAGTTGAGTGTTTTCTGAGTAGGTGCCCGAATCTTGATGCGTTGCATTCACTGCGTGTTCAGCGCAAATGTCCGCTAAAGGTAAAATCTAACACTGTACACATCATCGCCAAAGAAGCTCGCCTTTGCTAAGTTTACATTGAAAGTGCGGCTTATAACAACGAGCGGTTATGCGCTTGTGGTCATCGCAAGAATCCCGCTCATACATTGGTTCGGCTGACTCGCCTGCTTTTCCACTCGGTCTCATAACGAGACCGAGCATTTAAAATGACACAAACCCAAAACCAAAACTTTTAAAGAGTGATAGAAGTGAGACTTTACTTTCTTTTGTCTGTTCTTTCTTGAGATGTATATTATTTTGCTATTTAGTTACTGATGACTGCTTTGCAGCTTTCAGCATTGAATTGAATGATTTATTATAGTCGTTCATTTGTATTGTAGCAGAAATATTACTTATTAAATTAACATGCATATAAAAACAATAGTGCAAAATAAATATTTCTTACTGCAATGCTTCATTTTTGTTTGATGCAATACATAAATTTATTTTTCATAAAGTAACAGACTTTGACAGCAGATAACTTACATTTAAGCACATTCAAGGCAGCATGATGATGAGAAATGTAATTCATTGTTAGTAATACTGCCATTTTCATCATCATTAATATTCTATAATTATTAGACGTACATTTTGGAATTATTGCACACAAATATCAATGTCATCTCAGCATTAGATAGTCGTTTCTGGTTTTTGTTTGTTCTGATTGATGTGGTTTTAAAATACAATAAATCCCTTAAAATACAATTTGCAGTGGTGCTCATTTATTTTTGGTGGGTGCTCCTACATTTTTTCTGGTGCTCCTAAATATTTAAAGTTACCAAGTAAAAAAGTTAATTTCGAGCCTTGCAATCTGACGTAAACTACGTAGGTCATTTTTCACTTCTGAATTCATTCATTCATTCATTCATTCATTTTCTTGTCGGCTTAGTCCCTTTATTAATATGGGGTCGCCACAGCGGAATGAACCGCCAACCCATCCAGCAAGTTTTTACGCAGCGGATGCCCTTCCAGCCGCAACCCATCTTTGTGAAACACTACTGAATTTTTTTGAAAAAACTATTTAACAAAAACTTACCAATGAAAAGGTGTGAAGCACCAAAAGCGACTGATATTAAAATTGATTTGAAATATTTTGGCTATTGTTTTACCCATGAATTTTCAAATGTACTTTTTTTGACCATCAGACCATCTATTTCAGCTAAAATAGTGCTTAAAATGTCACTAAAATGCAGTATTTAAATCTCATAAATAAATAGTAGCTTAAATGAGGCCCCATTGACTTCCATTATAACCACATTTTTGATTGCAAATCCTTGACACCAAATGATCACGGGTTCTTGAATGTTGCTGGTTTTTCCTGTTGGCAATAGCTATGCAATGATTAACTGATTTCACCATGCTTTAATTCGTCAACACTTCTCAACACTGCCTTTCTGTTGCTGTTCAGTGATATGGCTACAAAGTGCCCATAAATAAACATTTTCTCGATTTAAATGAGCAGCGGCTTGGACCCGGAAACAGTATGCCATACATCACCAATTAACAAATGGATATTTAATGCGATGAGCCCAGCATAAAAGTGTCATTATCGCCCACTGTTGGTGGAGTGTGCCCTTAACTCTGTTTCTAAAAAATACCCGTGCACTTGTGGACATGGATTAAATCACAACAAGAAAATCCGCTACCTGCAGAAGCCTAGTACCATGAAATGAACACTCAAAGAACGGACTGATACCTTGAGAGAGAGGTGAACGGTCTAGGAGTCGGTCCAAGAAGAGGACGGTCTGAAAAGTGCTCCAGGAGGAGAGGTCAAATGTAGAGATCACTTGGGTGTCAGGGGCGTCGTTGCCCCAGAGGTCGCACAGGTGCTGTACTGGACCCGTTAAAGTTCTACCAGCCGAGAGATCTGGTTCACATAACGGAGGACCACAACCATTCAGCCATCGCTCAAATTCCAATCCTGAGCAAGACGGAAAGCAAAGAGCAAGGGGGGGGGGGTAGTGTTACATTTCTGTTTATTTAGCCTCCATCTCTCGCACTACTAATGTTGCTTTGACCCCTCACTGAGTGTTATGACTGGCTCAACAGGGAAATTCCTAACCGAGGACAAATGGAGCGCCATGAGATGAGTGACTATAAGTGTCTCTGTGTGTTAATCATCATCTCTGACAGTTGTCGCAACTCACCCTCTCGTTGAGCAACGCAGCCCTCCTTCAGCTCCGGGAAGAAGCCAAGAAAGAAGTCCAGCAGATCCTGAGCGATTACGCTGCTGAATCTAAACTTCTCGATGTAGGCCTAGACAGTGCAAGACAGAGGGATTAAGGAAATTAATGAGTGTTTGGGGAATAAATCTCATATACTGATGACGATATACTTTACCTGACAAAAGTCTTGTTGCCTATCCAACTTTTAGGACCAAGTAATAACTTCTAGTTGATCATTTGGTATCAGAAGTGGCTTATATGAAAGGCAAAGGCCTCTAGATTACGCTTATTTTACCAAAATAAAATATGATCATGCCTTGATTTTTTATTATTTAATTGAGACAGTAAGGTCTGACTTTGTTTAGACAAAAGTCTTGTCACTGAACAGAAATAATGTCCAGTATAGAATATAAAGTCATGCTGCAGTGGAAACAGAATGAATATTGTGTGTGACTCCATCATGAGCTTGGAGGACTGCATCCATACATCTAAGCAATGACTCAAATCACTGATTAATAAAGTCATCTTTCTTGCAGGACTCCCAGAGTTCATCAAGATTCTTTGGATTCATCTTCAATGCCTCCACCTCCATCTTACCCCAGACATGCTCAATAATGTTTAGGTCAGGTGACTGGGCTGGCCAATCCTGGAGCACCTTGACCTTCTTTGCGTTCAGGAGCTTTGATGTGGAGGCTGAAGTATGAGAAGGAGCGCTATACTGCTGGAGATTTTCCCCTCTACTGTGGTTTGTAATGTAATGGGCAGCACAAATGTCTTGATGCCTCAGGCTGTTGATGTTGCCATCCACTCTGCAGATCTCTCACACGCCCCCATACTGAATGTAACACCAAACCATGACTTTTCCTTCACCGAACTTGACTGATATCTGTGAGAATCTTGGGTCCATGCAGATTCCAGTAGGTCTTCTGCAGTATTTGTGATGATTGGGATGCAGCTCAACAGATGATTCAATTTACCTTCGGCCACTTTTTCAAAGGATCAACTAGAAGTCAAGTTATTATTTGTTGCTCTTACAACGACAGAACTTTTGTCAGGTAGTGTATATCACAATATAGTACCGTTTCTAAATTCAATCAATCATTTAAAAGATAGTTCAGTTAAATAATATATATATGACTATTGCTTTTCATTAAATCTTTAAGTATATATAAAGTATATATTCAAAAACATACTCATTCATATGCATTATATTTCTCACTTTATTTAGTGAGATTTAAAAGTTGTGCAAACATACAAATTTAGAAATAAATAATAATCAATAGAAACACTTATAAAAACTGTTCATATCCAACATTATGGCCCAATCCAAATTCTGTTTTTGTACCCTTATTCTTTCCCCTCGGCCCTTGAAACAGAGTGTAAAGGGGAAGGGCTTCAAAATTTACCCCTGAGAAACAGGACAGCACTAAAGCACCAGCACACGTTATCAGATGTCATCGTGAGCTCTTGCTTCATATGAGATCAGACGATCAAGACTGCTGTAGATATTCCAGTTGCGTTATATTTTGCTATTTATCTTCAGGACATTACTGAAGGCATTGATATTATTTTATCAAAACAATATAATGTGGCAATAAGATAGTAACCGTACTGCGCAGTTACACAGTGGCCATATTCATTAATGTAAACACAAGAAAGCAGCATTAACATTATAGCAGACGCGGTAAACAGCTCATTTCCAGCCACTAGACTTTTCTGACAGGGTATTCGAGTGTCATCGAGTGTCAGGATGTTGTGGGACTGCAGTACAGGAGTTATGATTAGGGATTATAGATAGCAAAATTTAGCAGTTTTTATTTTAGCGTTTTTTTTAAGCATGTCGGAAAAACACAAACACAGTTATGAATATATTAAAACATGAGTTTGTTTGTTAGAAAAATTCGTAATAATGACAAAAAATATACTAATTTGTGCATCTCCTGACTTCCGGGTGCAGCTATGCTGTCGTTGTGGCTGGTGTATTCTGGGAAATATTCGTACCACTTTTTTTCGAGTGTGCTCCTGAAAAATTTAGATTGGACCTATATTTACAAATATAGAACCAATTATAATGCAAAATGTAAGCTTTGTACTTTCAAGATTTTACCTCAAAAATCAATGGTTTGTCTAACTCTACAAAATAAATGATATAGCATAATATGAAATTACAGACTTTCATTTCGTCCATACAATATATATTGTCATGTTGCACAGCCTTACAACAGGGTTTAAATATTCACATATGTGTAGGGAATGATTGATATGTTTCTTACCCTAAGAAAGCTGTCAAATCTCTTGATATCACCACACAACTGCGAGAGGTAAGAAACAAAGCAGAAGCCTTTCTCATAGGTGAAGAGATTCATTAGGCTGCTGGGGTTTACACCTTCGGAGAAAAAGAAGAAAAATCAATAACATGCTACACTGAATCATGAATCATAGCTGTGACATCCTTTCCAGACAGGCAAATGAGAATGTTCCTTGCTTCTGTCTTTCTGAAATGTGACTAACAAGGAATTTTAGATGCTAGTTTTTACCACACAGCTATTTCAGATGAATAAAAACAGCAGCCGGTGTCTCTTTCCGGATGCTGGATTATATTGATGTACCTGGTTCAAATTTGGCCTGCAGCTTACTGACAGGATTGTTGTCTCCGAGAAGACGCATCTGTCTGTGAAGAGCATCCAGACGAAACACCGTTTCGAGACAAGTGAAGGCTTCTCCTGGATGAGAAAAGGACGGAGATAAATATAAAGAGCACTGTGGCATCTGGGTTTTTGACAGGACTTTGCATTTTCACAGTCACACATGACAAAAATGAATATAATTATAAATATTGACATCATGTAAAATGCAGTAAATGGTTAATTATTCATTTGTCTTCCATGGACCTCTTGTTATAACAACTGCAATCTTAGGACAGTTTTCAGATTTGACTCAAAAATGTAATTTGGCATGACTGTCTTAAGCATAGTTCCATAAATTACAGCTCTTATAAGTGGCTACAAGTGGCTGTTTAAGGTAATGGCAATCCTTATTTGCAAGTTTAAATTGAAAATCAAGTGATCTGAAGGAAAAGTTGTCATTCTATGTTGCAGGAAACAGCTGTTTTTCACGCCCTAAAACAACTTTTCCAGGCCAAAAAGTGATAAAAACAGACAGAAAAGTGAAAAACAGAAACTGCTTGAGGATAAAAATGTGCTTAAAAGAATAATAATCATCATTCTTTCCGTTTTAAACAACATTATATGCAGTTTTAAACTCATTTAACTAGTTTAAAGTTAAAACCAAGTGATCTGAAAGAGAGTAGTCATTCTTTATTGCGAAAAACAGCTTTTCAGGCCCTAAAACAGCTTTTTCAGGCCAAAAACCGAGTGATCTGACGGAGTTTGAAGAAGATATTATTCTATGTTGTGGAAGACAGCTTTTCAGGCCCTAAAACAGCTTTTTCAAGCCAAAAAGTGATAAAAACTGACAGAAAAGCAACAGACAAAAACTGCTTGATCATAAAAAACTGATTAAAACAATGAAAATCATCATTCTTTCTGTTTTAAACAACGCTATACACAGTTTTAAACACATTTAACTAGGTACCTATCCATATATTTCTAAAAACATAAGAACTTGATATTTTTGGAATGTTCTCTGGTTTAACGACCCCATTTTATATCATGCAACTGAAGCCCCGTGTGAAGCTCATGACCTGCACATGCCAAGATTTTGTCTCAGAATGGTTTACAGATTTACATTTTTTGGAACCACTACAAATGTGTAACGTTTTGTTGTCTTTTGGTGTGATAACCCTATATCATGACATTTTCAACAAGTCCGACAAGTAAGAAACAAAACAAAAAAGGATAGTAAATTTGAAGATGTTCTCTCAACAATATTTCTTTCCTCTTTCTAAAAGTCTTGACAACACCATCATTTATCTTTTATTATTTCAGCAAATAGGATTGTAAAAATATTACTTGTTACTCCCATTCACTGCACTTCAAGTTTACTTAACAATGACGACCTCCGCTACTGATAAACCAGAAAATGTGAAAAGGGTCCAAAGGACAATTTTATGGTACAATTCAGGAAATACAGAAGGTACAGAAAGTATTCAAACACCCTTAAATTTTGTGGCCCAGCCAGAGCCCTGACTTAAACCCAATTCAGCATCTCTGAAGAGACCTAAAAATGACTGTCCTCCAACGTTTACCATCCAACCTGACAGAAATGGAGAGCATCTGCAAGGAGGAATGGCAGAGGATCCCTAAATCCTTGTTGCATCTTTCCCAAAAAGACTCATAGCAAAGGGAATCTGAGCAAATACTGAGCAGAAGGTCTGAATACTTGGGACCATGTGATATTTCAGTTTTTCTTTTGTAATAAATCTGCAAAAATGTCAACAATTCTGTGTTTTTCTGGCAGTATGAGGTGCTGTGTGCACATTAATGAGGAAAAACAATGAACTTCAATGATTTGGCTGCTATATAACAGAGAGTGAAACATTTAAGGGAGTCTGAATGCTTTCTGTTCCCACTGTAGCTTTTAAAAACAGTGAAAAAACTGATAAAAGGTAGTGACTTCTTATATTTTCTAAACATACATTAATCTATATATTTTTTTCCTTTACTGCCCAATGTGTGAATTGCTGCACACTATGCTTTTGAGTTTGGTAGGTGCATAACACATTCCCATAACACTGGCATCTTTCTGCACGAGTATGAATCTGTGTGGAATGTAAATGTAAACATTTGCTAAAGGCCGACATGGTAGTGCGCTTCTATGTTTGGAGTGTGTGAGATGTGTATACCGTAGGCCTCTGTAGTAATGCGCCTCTGGGCGTAAGTGGCCAGTCCCTCGCTGAGCCACATCTCCTCCCAGGTAGCATTGGTGACTGCGTTGCCAAACCAGCCGTGTGCAATCTCATGTATGACATCAATGAGCAGAAATTCCTGACTCTCCAGAATGGAGGAAATGATGAAGGTGAGGCAGGGGTTTTCCATGGCTACGATGGGGAAAGAAGGAGGAAGGAACACCAAGTCGTACCTGTAAAGAGCGAGTCAGTTTAATGCTGGAATATAGGCTACCTGACAAGTCGCTGATCTCGGTTGTAAGAGCAACAAATAATAACTTGACTTCAAGTTGATCATCTGGAAAAGTGGCAGAAGGTGGATTTAATCATCTGTTGAGCTGCATCACAATCATTACAAATACTGCAGAAGACCTACTGGAATCTGCATGGAGCCAAGATTCTTAGAGAAATCAGTCAAGTTCGGTGAAGGAAAAGTCATGGTTTGGTGTTACATTTAGTATGTGGGTGTGTGAGAGATCTGCAGACTGGATGGCAACATCAACAGCCTGAGGTATCAAGACATTTGTGCTGCCCATTACATTACAAACCACAGGAGAGGGCAAATTCTTCAGCAGGATAGCGCTCCTTCTCATACTTCAGCCTCCACATCAAAGCTCCTAGAAGCAAAGAAGGTCAATGTGCTCCAGGATTGGTCAGCCCAGTCACCTGACATAAACATTATTGAGCATGTCTGGGGTAAGATGGAGGAAGAGGCATTGAGGAAGTCCAAAGAATCTTGATGAACTCTTTGCCATTGCAGATGACTTTATTAATAAGTTTGCCTTCCATATTAGCCACTTCTGATACCAAATGATCAGCTAGAAGTCGAGTTAATATTTGTTGTTCCTAAAACTTGGATAGGCAAGACTTTTGTCAGGTAGTGTATGACAAGAGGCTTGAGGTGAGGCCTAAGATAGATAGCTGACCTTCCCCATACATAAGGTCCAAATAGCCCCTCTGCCACATTAAGCCAGCGCTCCACACTGCCACCCAGTTTACTGACGGCACATGTCAGGATGCACGGCTCTGCCCATACACGACTCCTAAAAGCAAAGAGGGAACAGTAAATTATTGAATAGTAAGGCCCATGTCAAACAATAAGATATAATAAACAAAATCCAGTTGAAAACGAAAAGGAAATGCCAGCTTAAAGCAGCATTTCTAGGCTGGTTATGCAGGACAGCACAGCCTTGGTTCTGACTTAACCCTTTGTGCAAAGGTTTTTTCTAATGCGTCCATGGTTTCCGCTACATTCATTCTTCCATGGCAGGGCGCCACACCAAAATTCATCCCGCCACGGCTACATTACAGCTTCTCATTCAGAACATTCAGTCGTTGTTTTTTAATAGCAGGTTGAAAACATATTAAAAGGTAAGTGAATTATAACATCGCAAACTTTTCTGTAACAGTAGTAGTGTTGTGCGTTATTTGTTTAACCCTTTAAGGTGACATGCTGACTGACAGGGCTATGCAATGCATGAGGCCAGCAAAGACAACGTAGCTTTCAGTTAAGATGAACAGCTACCATAATTTTACTTTATAGATAAAGGTCTGCGGTTCTGCATACAATGACTTTATCTTTATTGCCATTTCATTTTACTTCAGGACACAATAATGCCGCTCTGTAGGTCTATTGGAGACATTCATAAATATTCTTTGCAAATCTAATAAATGTTGGAGACATACTTGTTACATAAACGCACTAATCACACTTCAGCAGTCTTTATTTGAGAGTGCACAGGAAAATCTGTGCTTGCCTTGACCAGCGTATATTTGAGGCCGTCACAACGTGTAGTTACATTTTTTGCAACCGCGCGAAGGATGTGCCAGACCATAAGATATGGAGAATTATTCATCAGTCTTAACAGAGCGGGGTCACGTGCTTCCACGCGCATTTATTCGTAGTGAAAATAATTGAAAATATTTTTTTTAAATCAACCTGGAAAAATTAGAGCTATTATAGGACATGAATGTTGATTTTGATAACTTTTCGATTTAATGCTCAGACATAACTAAAACTATTGTAAACAAGCATGTAAACAACAGGAAATGCTGTTTGGCACCACTAACAATTTAGTTAAAATTCATATTTATCAGTCAAACCGCTGTAAACACGTTCTACATCTACATCCCAAATAACGAACGTGCAAAAGATATGTGAACGTTTCATATTACTTACACAAGCTTATAACCTGAATATATGCGAAAAACACTTGTCAGATTTTATTCTGACAAGAGTAGGCGTGAGGTTCAGCAGTGTGCTCTTCATTTTCTGTCTAATTCGTTACACGGTTACACGGACTGACAGTTTTTACACATTGGCAAAGTGTGTGCTAGACTAGTAGAGGCGTGATGCTTCCTGGTGACATGGAGCTGATCTGCAAATCACAGCACATTATGTTAGCTGACCAATCAGAGCCTCTTGAGGGCGGGCTTATCAGAGGAACTAGGAAATATGACAGTCGTTTTTAATGTTAGCCGAGTAGCTGTATATAATTAAAGTCAAATATATGAAAAAAATAACCTGATGTTTTACAAATGAAGCATGAGCACACATTGCTTTGCACCCCATAAACACAACCAAGCCTTAAAAATACACTCTGGACCACCCTCTAAAAACAAGAAGAAAAACCCTGCAAGTTCTGAAAAAGATCAAGGCTAAAAGTAATATAAAACATTACTTACAATAGAAAGTAACTAGTTACTTTTTTGGGTAGAAACTCCATATTGTAATGCATCACTTTCTAAAGTAACTTTCCCCGACACTGGTAGGCACAAAACCTTGTTCTAGTCGACACTGGATGTGTTCTGTTAACTCTGATCAACTAGAATTACTAAAACTGTAAGTATACAAACTAAACAGAATTGCATTCACAAAATAAAAACTAAACTAAAAGTAGCAAAACCCTTAATGAAACGAACTCAAAATAAACTGAAATTGACAGAAAATGTAAAGATACCATCAAAATAAAAACTAATTTAAACATGCTAAACTATAATAAGCTTGATCCCTCCTTACCTAGGCCCAATGTCTGCATGCTGTAGGTCTCCTGCCACCAGGGCTACTAAATAAGCTGGGACAGGGTACTCCATGGAGAACTGGAAAACCCTGTCCTGTTTAGAGTATGCACTTCTTGAGGCACTCATCAACACCGTGACACCCTCTGGTACCTGTAACGTAAACACATACATTCACAAACACAGAACATCTGCAAGTCTGTAGAATACAAATAAACCCAGAAGACTGTATCGAATGCTGGTGTAGATATTTCAGTAAATCTAGGTATTTTGGATAGCAGGGTTCCTAAACCTTTTCCTGATGTCAAAGTTATGCAGTTTTCAAGCACATTTCAGCTGCATTTTAAAAGTATAACCACTTTACAAGTGTGCGGATGCACTGTAAATATGCCAAAGTATTCATAGCGCTTCACTTTTTCCACATTTTTTTATGTCACAGCCTTATTCCAAAATGGATTAAATTCATTTATTTCTTCAACATTCTACACACAATCCCCCATAATGACAATGTGAACAAAGAGTTTTTGAAATTGTTGCAAATTTATTAAAAATAAAAAAGCTGAAAAATCACATGTACATCAGTATTCACAGCCTTTGACGTGAAGCTATAAATTGAGCTCAGGTACATTCTGCTTTCACTGATCACTCTTGAGATGTTTCAGCAGCTTCATTGGAGTTCACCTGTGGTCAATTCAGTTGATTGGACATGATCTGAAAAGGCATACACCTGTCTATATAAGGGCCCAGGGTTGACAGTGCATGTCAAAGCACAAAACCAAGCATGAAGACAAAGGAATTGTCTGTAGACCTCCGAGACAGAATTGTCTTGAGGCACAAGGCTGGGGAAGGTTACAGAAACATTTCTGCTGCTCTGAAAGTTTCAATAAGCACAGTGGCCTCCATCATCCGAAAGTGGAAGATGTTTGGAAGCACCAGGACTCTTCCTAGAGCTGTCTGGCCATCTAAGCTGAGTGATCGGGGGAGAAGGGTCTTAGTCAGGGAGGTGATCAATAACCTGATGGTCACTCTGTCTGAGCTCCAGCGTTCTTCTGTGGAGAGAGGAGAACCTTACAGAAGGACAACCATCTGTGCAGCAATCCACCAATCAGGCCTGTATGGCAGAGTGGCCAGACGGAAGCCACTCCCTGCCTGAAGTTTGCCAAAAGGCATCTGAAGGACTCTCAGACCATAAGAAACTACATTCTCTGGTCTGATGAGACTAAAATTGAACTCTTTGAAATGAATGCCAGGCGTTTCATTTGGAGAAAACCAGGCAGCGCTCATCACCAGGTTAATACCATCCCAACAGTGATGCATTTTGGTGGCAGCATCATGCTGTGGGGATGTTTTTCAGCAGCAGGAACTGAAGACTAGTCAGGATAGAGGGAAAGATGAATGCAGCAATGTACAGAAACATCCTGAATGAAAACCTGCTTCATTGCTCCTGACCTCAGACTGGGGCGACGGGTCATCTTCCAGCAGGACAATAATCCAGAGCACACCACCAAAATATCAATGGAGTGGCTTCACAACAACTCAGTGAATGTCTTTGAGTGGCCCAGCCAGAGCCCAGACCTAAATCCTATTAAACATCTCTGGAGAGATCTGAAAATGGCTGTACACCGTCACTTTCCATCCAACCTGATAGAGCTTGAGAGGTACTGCAAAGAGGAATGAGCAAAAATTCCCGAAGACAGGTGTGCCAAGCTTGTGGCATCATATTCAAAAAGACTTGAGGCTGTAATCGCTGCCAAAGGTGCATCAATAAAGTATTGACCAAAGGCTGTGAATACTGATGTACATGTGATTTTACAGCTTTTAATTTTTACTAAATTTGCAACAATTTCAAAAACTCTTTTTTTTTACATTGTCATTATGGGGGATTGTGTGTAGAACGTTGAGGAAATAAATTAATTTGATGGATGGATGGATGGATGGATGGATGGATGGATGGATGGATGGATAGATGGATAGATGGATAGATGGATAGATGGATAGATGGATAGATAGATAGATAGATAGATAGATAGATAGATAGATAGATAGATAGATAGATAGATAGATAGATAGATAGATAGATGCAAAAACATTTTCAAGCAGTTTCAAGCATTTCATAAAAAATCTAAACATTAATCAAACCTTGAAAAACTAAACTGGAGCATTTTTAAGGTTTTCCAAGCACCCGCACAATAAACACTGAGACAGACTTACCCTGACTGTGGCGGAGTAAGTGCTTTTGACGGCTGGTGTATCAAAACAGGGGAAAAATGAGCGGTTACAGACCGAGTGACCCTGAGTGAAGACCAGTGGACGAGTCTGTCCGCATGTCAACTCTGCATCCAGCCACCAGATCTGATGAAGGACAAGGCGAACAATGAAGTAATGGAACATGCAAAGCATTTAAGATAGATGACGCCAGCAAATTAAATTTGTTTACGGTCTCTCACAGCTGAATGAAATCTGACATTTTACACAGCGGAAACTATAAACCCTCCTGTGAAAATGTCATTTCATTTCTTTTTTACTTAGTTTTTTTTTTAAATGTTGTGATGTTTAACAGAGAAAGAACATCTTTACAGTATTTCCTATGATATTTTAATCTTATTTCTTTTAGTTTGGCTGGAATAAATAGAATAAGTTCTTTAAGGTCAATATTATTAACCCCCTTGTTAATTTTATTTTATTATTTTTTTGATTGGCTACAGAATAAACCATTTCTGTGCAATGTCTTGCCTAATTAAGCCTTTAAATTGAACTTTAAGCTGAAAACTAATCTATCCAAAGTTTTAGGAATAACAATAATAACTTGACTTCTAGCTGATCATTTGGTGTCAGAAGTGTCTCATATGAAAGCCAAAGGCCTCTAGATTACACTTATATTACCAAAATAAAATATGATCATGGCTTGATTTTTTATTATTTTATTAGGACAGTAAGGTCTGACTCTGCTTAGACAAAAGTCTTGTCACTGAACAGAAATAATGTCCTGTATAGAATATAAAGTCATGCTGCAGTGGAGAAAGAATGAATATTGTGCATGACTCCCATGAGCTTAGAGGACTGCATCCATACATCTCTACAATGACTCAAATCACTTATTAATAAAGTCATCTTTCTTGCAGGACTCCCAGAGTTCATCAAGACTCTTTGGTTTCATCTTCAATGGCTCCTCCTTCATCTTACCCCAGACATGCTCAATAATGTTCATGTCTGGTGACTGGGCTGGCCTGGGCTGGCGCTATCCTGCTGGAGAATTTGCCCTCTCCTGTGGTTTGTAATGTAATGGGCAGCACAAATGTCTTGATACCTCAGGCTGTTGATGTTGCCATCCACTCTGCAGATCTCTCGCACACCCCAATACTGAATGTAACCCCAAACCATGACTTTTCCTTCACCGAACTTGACTGATTTCTGTGAGAATCTTGTGTTCATCCAATAGTTCTTCTGCAGTATTTGTGATGATTGGGATGCAGCTCAACAGATGATTAACCAGAAAAATCACCTTCTGCCACTTTTCCACATGATCAACTACAAGTCAAGTTATTATTTGTAGCTCTTACAACTGAGATCGACGACAAGACTTTTGTCAGGAAGTGTATATTTATTTATATTTACTGGATATTTCAGCTGCTGGTCATGCTAATGCTTCCTATTCTATACAGTTGAAGTCAAACTGATTAGCCCTCCAGTGATTTTTTTATTTTCTTTTTCTAATATTTCCCAAATGATGTTTAACAGAGCGAGGAAATTTTCACAGTATTTCCTAAAATATTTTTTCTTCTGGAGAAAGTCTCATTTGTTTTATTTCGACTAGGATAAAAGCAGTTTTTATTATTTTTATACCATGTTAAGGTCAATATTTTTAGCCCCCTTAAGCAATATTTCTTCAATTGTCTACAGCAGTGGATCTCAAAGTGGGGGTCGGGACCCCCTGGGGGGTCGCGGGACAATGACAAGGGGTCGCTTGGTGATTTCCAAAATTTAAATACATTTTATTCAACTATTTGAATTGTCATATTTTATTCATAACCCACAGAAGATTAATAGTTGTGTTAAAGAAACAACAACATACAAACAAAAATCAGCCATCAGCTTTTAATATTTATATTAAAATGTAATTAAATTAATAAATGATTAAAAAAACCTTATATGTTGCATTTATGTGTTGTCAATATGCTCATGTTCATATGGGCCTATAGTTGTGTCTGCAACGTTTATATATATTTACAGTATAACCACTTTGAAAAATGGGGGTCGCGAGTCACTGACATTGTTATTTTGGGGAACTTTGGGTAGTTTGGGAACCCCTGGTCTACAGAACAAATCATAATTTGCCTAATTACCCTAACATGTCTAATGAACCTAGTTAAGCCTTTAAATGTAACTTCAAGCTGAATACTAGCATCTTAAAAAACATCTAGTCAAATATTAGGTGCTGTCATCATGGCAAAGATAAAATAAATCAGTTATTAGGGATGAGTTATTAAACTATTATGTTTAGAAATGTGTTGAAAAGAATCTCTGTGTTAAACAGAAATTAGGGGGAAAAACATACGAGGGGGGGGGGATTATTCAGTAGGGCTTTCTTACAGAGCATTGAGGCACTGAATGAAGTGATATCTGAAAAACGATACAAAAGGAAGCACACAAGGTGTGTTTACTTTCAACTGAAACCACCATGTGTGGGCAGTGATATGTATGGGCTGTGGTTAAAGTATAAATAAACACTTGGTTTACATACTCAACCTACAGTAGATATGCACATATCATTAATGGTGCATTGAGACATGATTAACAGAGCCCACCTTCCAGTAATTACCTCACACAGCCACCGACCGTCATGACCTGGTTAACTCTAGTTATCTACTTAAGGGGACATGATGTCACTACACTGAGGTCATTCTTATCAGTGGAGCTCAGACGCTCCAGTGCTGTCCCTGCTCTCTCTGCTTGCACGTGGAGCTTTAATAAATAAAATGCAGCCAATCTTTCGATTGACTTCGATTGTGGGAAAAAGAAATGCATCACTATGGAAGTGAATGGTGACAGGGTTTCAGCATTCTGAAAGAAGATATTTTGTAAAATGTCAGAAGCCTGTAACCATTGACTTCCATTGTAGGAAAGAGAAATGGTCTACTATGGAAGTGAATAGTTACAGTTATTCAGCGTTCTGTCGAACACAAAAGAAGATATTTTGTAAAATGTCAGATACCAGTAACCATTCACTTCCATAGAAGGAAAAACAAATAGTCTACTATGGAAGTGAATAGTTACAGGGTTTCAGCGTTGTGTTGAACACAAATGAATATATTTTGTAAAATGCCTGAAACCTGTAACCATTGACTTCCATTGTGGGAAAAATAAATGGTCTACTATGAAAGTGAACGGTTACAGGGATTCAGCGTTTTGTTTAACACAAAAGAAGATATTTTGTAAAATGTTTGAAGCTTGTAACCACTGACTTCCATAGTAGGAAAAACAAATGGTCTACTATGGAAGTGAATAGTTACAGGGTTTCAGCATTGTGTTGAACACAATTGAATGTATTTTGTAAAATGCCTGAAACCTGTAACCATTAACTTCCAAAGTAGGAAAAATAATGGGCTTTCATAGAAGTGAATGGTTACAGGGTTTCAGCGTTCTGTTGAACACAAAATAAGATATTTTGTAAAATGTCAGAAACCTGTAACCATTGACTTCCATAGTAGAAAAAATAAATTGGCTAGTATGGAAGTGAACGGTTACAGGTATTCAGCGTTTTATTTAACACAAAAGAAGATATTTTGTAAAATGTCTGAAGCCTGTAACCATTGACTTCCAAAGTAGGAAAAAGAAATAGGGTACTATGGAAATGAATGGTTACAGGCTTTCAGCGTTCTGACGAACACAAATGAAAATATTTTGTAAAATGTCAGAAGCCTGTAACCATTCACTTCCATAGTAGGAAAAAGAAATGGGCTATTATGGAAATGAATGGTTACAGGGTTTTAGCGTTCTGTCAAACACAAAAGAAGATATTTTGTAAAATGTCAGCAGCATGTTAACATTGACTTCCATAGTAGGAAAAACACACTAAGCATGGTTGCTGGTTTTATTGAGGTAAAGTTGGTTTTATATTACAATTGATAATACCTCACAATTCTGTGTCCCACAGGAAACACCTAAAGGTGAAGTTTATCCAAAACTGAAAATCCTGTCATCATTTAGCTAGTCACCCTTTACTTGTTTTAACCATTTTAAGGTCAATATTATTATCACCCTTAAGCAATATTTTCTTGTCTACAGAACATAAAATTAAATGGTGCTCATGTTGTGTTGAATCATACTAACATGCGGTTTTAGACCGATATTCAAAGTACTGTGGTAAACAATATAGCGAGAGTGTCAAAAGTTGTCACTGAATGAATATGCAAATATAAAATCAACTTAACCTCGATAAAACCTGCAACCATAGTATGTTTTTCTTACTATGGAAGTAAATGTTTCTGACATTTTTCAAAATATCTTCTTTTGTGTTTGACAGAATGTTGAAACCCTGTAACCATACACTTCCATAGTAACCCATTTGTTTTTCCTAAAAAAACAAATGGGTTACTATGGCTTCTGACATTTCTCAAAATATCTTCTTCTGTGTTTAACAGATTAAACTCAGGAACCACTTGAGAGAGAGTAAATAATGAGTAAATGTTCATGTTTGGGTGAACTATCCCTTTCATTTGACAAAGGAACGTGGCATTAGGAAGCTGAGGTGATTATCAACATTAAGGTTTGACAGCTGGGAATTTTAAAGGTGTACAACAATAGTGCTGTGCAACAAAGTTATTATTAGCGTGTATGTGTGTGGTTTGTCAGCTGTCACCGTGTTGACCTTACCGCAGGGCCGTCGGTGGTGGTGTAGCGGACGGTGACACGGAAAGCCCGGTGCGGCCGGATCACCGCGGCCGGGAGGGTGATGTTCAGAGATGATCCGTAATCGGTGAACGGTTCCACTCGGTAGGTGAGCGACAAAAACACGTCTGGAGCACCTGACGCGCCGGGCACTTTACAGTCCACGGAATGAATCAACAACGACGGATGCGTGTCCAGAATGAGGGATTGGACGCCGGGCTGAACAGGCGTGAGCTCCAGGACCTGCCATCCCGTTATCCTCTTAACGGCGAAGTTCAGGTGAAGGTCCAGATGGAAATGTCTGAGTTTAAAGCAGTGGAAGTTGGACGCTGACGCGATGTCCACCAGGCGACAGTGCGCCAGACTCCGGCCACCCTCGCAGGACTTACCGGGAACGGTCAGCACTTTCCGGCAGCAGCACAGCGTCGGCCGCTGCAGCTCGGCCATCGGTAAAGTTAGGTGGATAAACACACGACAGACAGCGTCAAAGTTTGCACTTCAACTAGCGTAGATCGGCGGAAGAGAGATGAGCGAGCGAGCGAGTTTGTTATACATTGTTACCGGAGAGTTAAAGGGGCGGTCGAGGACCGGACACTCCAAAACCGAAGGCGAAAAATGAAAATAAAACCGCCGGGACGGCAGTAAAATGCATTAAAACAAAACAGATCTACGTAAAATCCATCAGAGCCGCAGACACGACCGAGCTCAGCCCTCCGACCTCCATCTGAAGCCGAATATCCGTGCTGGTGTCCCGCGGTCGATATACGCGGCTCGCTGTCCGTCCCGAGAGCCCCGCGGAGAGACCGACCGGTCACTATTACCGGCAGAAAAACAGACGCATTGTGAAGTCCCGAGAAGCAGAACTGAGCAGAGTTAAGTGACTCCCTTAGAAAACAGGAAGTAAAAACAGGGGAGGAAATCACTTCGAGACGGGAAAGTTTTCAAGCTGCAGGGGGGCGCTGCGGAGCTCATGATGGACCTCGCAAAACACTGAAAACAACACGGGACTCGACCGATATATAGCTTTATTGATGCTGCTAAATTAATATAGCTTTAATAAACACCAACTGTAGGCTGATAACATGCTGATTAATAGCACATCTATAGCAAAATGTGACAGGTTAAAGACGAGACGATTTGTGTGTCTGCATCATAATAAAATAAGTATTGGTAAACTGAAGGCAACATCCCATCAACATAAACACCAATTCTGACCTGTAACTTAATTAAAATATGTCTAGTAATAGCCTATAATCATACTAAATTGCTGTACATTTTAAAAGATTAAAAACTCATTGCTGACAAACAGGAATACATTTCAACATATAAAATCGTAATTAATTAGTATTTTGGAACAGCAATGTGGTCCACAAAATGAGGATTTGTGATCCTAAAATGTGCCTATTTTTATATAAAGACTTGTTTCACTTAGTGACATTTTAATAGCTGTTTTGCTCAGAAAATAAATAAATAAATGGAAGCACTCTCATTAATCAGTTATCAAATTCAACCTTAATACACTACCTGACAAAAGTCTTGTCGTCGATCTCAGTTGTAAGAGCAACAAATAATACCTTGACTTGTAGTTGGTCATTTGGAAAAGTGGCAGAAGGTGATTTTTCTGATGAATCATCTGTTGAGCTGCATCCCAATCATCACAAATACTGCAGAAAATCCATTGGATGAATACAATAATCTCAGAGAAATCAGTCAAGTTGGGTGTAGGAAAAGTCATGGTTTTGAGGTATCGAGGCATTTGTGCTGCCCATTACATTACAAACCACAGGAGAGGGCAAATTCTCCAGCAGGATAGCGCTCCTTCTCATACTTCAGCCTCCACATCAAAGCTCCAGAAAGCAAAGGTCAAGGTGCTCCAGGATTGGCCAGCCCAGTCACCAGACATGAACATTATTGAGCGTGTCTGGGGTAAGATGAAGGAGGAGGCATTGAAGATGAATCCAAATAATCCTGATGAACTCTGGGAGTCCTGCAAGAACGATGACTTTATTAATCAGTGATTGCAGAGATGTATGGATGCAGTCCTCCAAGCTCATGTTGGAGTCAGACACAATATTCATTCTTTTTCCACTGCAGCATGACTTTATATCCTCCTAAGACCCAACGAAAAAAATTATTTTCTTTTTTTTTCTGTGATTTCCTTTGGGTTTAAAAAAATCTACAATTTGGAGTCTTTACATTTTGTTTTTATTTTTAATTTTACAGCATGACCACTGTAGTGGACCACAGGACCATTTTAGTTCGAAACGACTGCCAAACTCAGAAAACAAAACTGTACAGGATATGCCTGTAAAGGGATATTAATCCAATAATAATGTAACAAAAACTAAACAAAAGCCATTTTTTTCCTTTTGTATTGAAATTCCTGAATCAGTTTAGTCTGAAAGAGAGCCAAACTCAAAAAATTAAAAAGAGAAGTGACGTTAATCCAAAACAAATTCAACATAAAAGCGGTTTAAAACTGATTGTCATTCTCTCATGGTCTCTAATTCTCTAATTGGCTGATTATCAGACTCTAAATCAGAGTCTCCCTCAATGTGTTAGAAAGAATCCTCTCTGCTTCAGTTCTGCCTCCTGCAGTCATTATTTACATTAAGATGGTCCTGGTGTCCAGGACCATCTTAATATTTTGAAACACAAACAAGTAAACAGCTTTGAAAGCTAAATGTATTGTTCCTGACACTTTAATAAACAAATATATGTGTAATAATAATAGAAAAAAAACATTTATAAAGCTCAATTTTACATGCCTCGCTCCTTCCTATTAAATGCAATAATGTCGGGATGCAGCCTTTATGATGCAAGCTGAGATTGCATCACTCAGCGATGCAATGTCAGACACAATGCACTCAAATGGAGCGAGTGACGTCACTGTGGTGGGTAGGGTTAGGGGTGGGGTTAGATGAGCTCATTAAAAACCATTGGATGCAGCCCAGATTGCACTGCACTAAGTCTGCATCCAGACACCTCTCATAAAATGTGCTTGTTTGTATGTATGTCGGCCATTTTGGATGCTATAAGAAATGGTTCCTAGCATGCCAGCCAATCAAATGACATATCACTAGAAAGCCCAGGATGTCCCCTGAACAGTACAACAGGACTTGACAGAGTAGCTCAAAAAGTACAAAGAAAATTCATGAAAACGCAACGTCCTCTATAGAGGACACAAGTCAATGGGCGGGTCTCTGGAGCATGTTCTATACTGGACATTATTTCTGTTAGGTGACAAGACTTTTGTCTAAGAAAGGTCAGACCCTACTGTCCTAATTAAATCATTAGAAATCAAGGCATGATCATATTTTATTTTGGTGAAATAAGCGTCATCTAGAGGACTTTGCCTTTCATATTAGACACTTCTGAAACCAAATGATCATTTAAAAGTCAAGTTATTATTCGTAGCTCCTAAAACTTAAAAAGGCGGCAACACTTTTGTCAGGTAGTGTATATTGTGCTAAAATGTAAATGATTAATACAATTTATTTAAAAAACAAACTAACTGGACTAGCAACTAGCAACACACCAGTGGAAAGACAGGCTGAAACTAGAAAATCTATATTAAATATAACCAATTAATGGGATATTCCGTATTATTTTTGCAAATAAATAAAAAACACGGAAATCTTTTAGACTAAAAAGTGGAGAAATGTTAGCTTTTAGATTTGCTGAAATAAAACCCTTTAATATATTAGTGTTTTAAAAGGTTAAGGGAGCATGAGGCAAACATAATCTAAAAATGGGAGAAATTACAACAACAGAAAAAGCCTCAAATCATTATAATCTATAATGATATCGATACACAGTGCATATCTAAACTGACTCAAATGGAATAACAATGCTTTCTTTTATACAACAGTTCTGTCTGGTTCTCGAATCTGATTGGCTGATAGCCGTGATATATTTAAGTAATATCAGCACCTGTACAGCCTCTTTACCCTTTGTGTATTACTCCGCCCTCATACAGCCAGCAAAAAGCAGACAATACAGATCTACAGTTTAAAAGATGCTTGCTCAGCTGTTTAACTGTCAGCTTATGAATTGAATCCTACGCGGAAGAAAGTAGTTCCTCATACAAAGGGGTTTTGGAGACTCTCCATGTTTGATTTTGTTTTTATATACACAATTATGCCGTCAAACTGTTGTATAAACGCAATATCACACTCGTAGCAGTGCGATATGGCTGTATATCGGCACTGGTGGGGGTGCTAAGGCACTTGACAGCCAACGCACGCCTCCCACCAGTGCCGATATACAGCCATATCGTACTGCTACGAGTGTGATATTGCTCATTTATGTAACTGATTATAAAAGAGACAAATATTGATTATGAAATCTGATTTAGTTTTACTACTAAATTTTCTTGCGAAAAGAAAATGCAAGACATTTGGTGATTAAAAAAACACACCTTTACTGCAGAATCGGATTTTTTTTTTCCCCCAACTTTATTTATAGAAATTTTCAAAAATGTACAAATATCACACATTTTAGAATATTATTGTACATTTTGACATAGAGAGAGAGAAGTAAACAAGGATCTAAATGATTATGACAATTATTAACCCCAGATATATTTATATAAAAAATAAAAAATCAATAAAAATTAAACAACAACAACAGAAGAAATAAAATAAAATAAAATGCCAACCAACCATAACAGAATCGGAATTTTGAGTTGTATTTTTCCCTGTTTATCAAGCTTCTCTGTATTGTATAAAGTGCCATAGAAATAAAGGTGATGTAAATAGCACAGAAAACACACTGAATATTCATAGTATTAAATAACTGCCTTATGATTTGAGCAATATTTCGCTGCTGTACTAGATCTCAAAGAAGCATGTAATATTATTGACCACAATAAACACATTATTGGGTAAGGCCATATTTAGAAAGCAGCGTACATTTATGAGCATTTTCAAATCTATGACGTAAGTTCCCTAAGATTAAATACACGTGCCTCTACAATTGAAACTGTTTACATACTCACCCAGATTACATTAACAGCAGCCTGTGCCAAGAGAATACAGAGGTCATTGTATTTGGCAGTAAAGATGAAATATCAAAGATGAATGTGTAACTTGGGCTTCAGAGGTCAAAAGATAAATAAATAAACACATAAATAAATGAAGTCAGGAGTTTTGCTGTCATTCTGGACCATTATCTTACTTTCAGAAGCCATAAAAGCAGCCTAAGTCGGATCTAAAACCCAAATCAGGTCCATCGTGCCTAAGCAAGACCTACAAAAGATTATTCAAGCTTTACTAATATCAACCGAAAAGCACATTGCATTATTCATTCATTTTCCTCGGCTTTATTCATCCAGGGGTTGCCACAGCGGAATGAACTGCCAACTTAAGCTAATACTCACTGCCATACTCACTAATTCACACACATAGACCACGTCAATTTAGTTCATTCAATTAACCTAGCGCATGTCTTTGGACCCAGAGGAAACCCATGCAAACATGGAGAGAACATGCAAACTCCACATAGAAATGCCAACGGACCAAGCCACTGGCTCAAACCAGTGACCTACTGTGAGGCGAAAGTGCTCACCACTGAGCCACCTTGTTTGTTCATGTTTGTAGATCCATTAACTTGGAAACTTATTGTAAGGTGCTACGGAGTTACCTAGGTCTAGAATTATATATAAGCAATTCATGAACACTTTACTCGCTTGTTTCTTCAAGGTATACACGAGGATGATGGGTTTTTATTTTTGGATGAACTGCTCATTTAGATATTTTGTCTCCGGGGGACAATAATGAATCACATGGCATCTGAAATGATCCTATTAACCCCGGGCTGTTCTTGAGATAAGAGTCTGCTAAATGAATAGACACAATAGCGTGCTATACTACAGTAAAGCCTTGATGTCGTTGTTTTCAATATCCTGCAGAATGGCTGCTGTGTTGGGTGCTCATGTCCATTTATAAGTACACTCATTTCTCGTAATATAGTGAGATTCATACTGCCTTCTTTTTAACTGCCCGTAGTTTATAGCTTATTATTACACGGCCCTATAAGGAATACTTGATTCTGATTCCAATGTATGTTTTTCTCAGGTAACAACTAATAATAATAATCCGGGTACTGCGATCCATTTTGACCATTAGTGAATATATTTGTATTTATCTTTCCCTCAGCGGTTTGGCGCCATGCCGCCATCTTGTGACTAAATAATAAGTTAGTTTTAGGCTGCATCCAGTCGGTTTTGTGTTCGTTTTATGGCTCAGATCAGGTTGCGAATTCGCACCCTGATCTAAGATGTATTGCGAGTCCCTTTGAATCTAAGGAAAAAGTTCACTCTGATCTGTATTTTAAATAATAATTGTAATAATCCAATTGACCACCCCTATAAAGGTTCATAACATTGTGAATGCATAATCGCGCCAATCAGTCTATAGAAGAAAAGTGATTCAACAGTCTGAAACCAGCCGATTTAGAGCATCGTAAGTGTTAACAAGACTGATTTCTCATAAAATAGGTGTTTGTTTTGACATAAAGCCTAGAAGTAAAGTTAAATTAGGTGCGTAGTTTGTATAGTTTGACCTAAACGAGACGCCACTGTTACTTCATGTGCTTAAATATCTCTCTGAAATTACGCAAAACTTTCAAAGTGCGTAAAAGAGTATTAAGAGTTGAGCACGATACGACATAAATACCAGTTAGCGCCCATAGCTATGTACATTAGATGTCGCCTACCCTGATGTTGTCTGTTGGAAGGAATGCGTCAATAGAGCCGCCATTTTAGTACAGGGTAACGCTCCTTTGAAATGAACGCTCCTTTGAAATGAACGCCATCTAGCGGTCACATAATCTAATGAATAAATATTATGATCAACTTCTTTTATAAATATATACAACTTGACATTACTTTTTTCTCACCACCACACTGGTCTTTTTCACAAGACAAAATGTTGTTGTTGGAAACTGTATTTTATATACTTAAATTTGACTTTTGCATGCTAAACGTACTTGAGTAAGAGACGTTTTACTTGATTTGGGTCATTAAAAAAAACTCCCTATGATGTATGTAGCCTATACCTGCTGTAGTCAACCTAAAACCTACAGTAGGTCGACATAAAACCAAAACAACACCCATTCTTGTCTTAGGACATTTTATTTGGCAGATTTTAAAATAACAGTAAGTTTATGACACGTTAAATATATAGTATAATTTGCTGGTTTTAAAGATACAGAATAATAATAAATATAGTTATGAAACAACCATAACATAACACCAAATGTTGACTAATGAAGGTATATTTATAACAACTATTTATTTGTTAGACTACTGTATTGTCAAACCATGTTGCATACAAATGCATTCAACAGACTTATATGAGAGTGCATTGCTGTAGAGGACAAATAAAACACGAGACAGGTGTTTAAAAAGAGAATAGTTTATTAAGTTTAACATGCAAACTTATCTAAACAAGACACACTTTCAGAAAACAGCCCGGAAACATTATAATGCGCGCGCTCGTGAATATAACCCGCGGTTGTCTTCAACTGTTGTCTTCAATAGTCCTTCTTTGCTCAACAACTCAGCTGAAAAACAAAGCAAAACATTACAACAGTCAGACATAAAGCAAAGAGCATAGAATTACCAAGAGGCGACACTCTACAATTTGGGAAACAATAACGTACTTTTTGAATAAATTAAATAAAAACAAAGCAGATGTTTTCCATCGCGACAACAATGACGAGCGATCGCGATCGCGACCACTTCAAAATGGCGGAATCCGGGTCTGTTGCTCTCGGTCATTCTAAGCTCTTTGCATAAAGTTAAATCATAACAGTTACCATGGTTTCTATTTCAAACTATAGTAAACTAAAGTTTGAAACTATAGTTTAAAATAGAAGATGAGTGGGCCTCGCTACTCCCACCCACCATAACCCTCGCAGCGAGGTCCCACTACCGGCCCCCCGTGTTTCCCTGAGGGTCCTCGGGGGTTGTTTGTTCCCTGCCTAGGGCTCAAAGGCCGCCTCGCCCCAGGGAGTGCACGAGAAAACCGGGCGCCAGGCCGTGCCAGTATTCACTGGATGTTGCTCGGCGGCACATTTCAAGCAACAAACACGTAATATTCTTTGCGATATTGCGTTTATGTACGCAAACCGCAAGGAACTACAGCACAGACGGGCCCGGGTGAAGCATCACGAAGCGGACTTCGTGAGTTTGGCGTAGCTCCACTCGTACCGTCGGTATTGAACTCACCTTGGTCAAGTACAAACAGCTACACCGGGCGAACTGACAACGCTGACAGAGAGCACACGAGCTTTATAGGTATGCATATGCAAAATTTTACAAGGCACGTCACTGTTGTCTCGTTGTCATGGCGAGCGCTGAAGAGGGCTCTTCTGATTGGAGCACACAGATTGGGGAATCTGCGTCACGGCGTGATGCCGTCTGCTGTGGACAAAAATATATTCAGTATATACTTTTACATTTTTGGTGCTGTGTAATATTCTGAGATGCAGTAGAATATGGAGACAGATGAATATAATTGGATATATGTCGAGCTAGTGTTGTTTCCATACTTATAAACTTCCGGTGACCGGTTATTGTGAGTTTATTTTCCACTTTATACGGTTCCTGTTACAGCATCCATGTTGTGATGTAATTAAAATACATTCAGTTAAATAAACTTTGGCATTCGTTTAGTTGTTCAAGCGTAAAACGAGACATAAAGCCGTTTACTCGCACTCGGACGTCAGAATCGGCGGCTAGCGCCGAAGCTCCATTGAATCCACCGGGGTAAAATAAATGCTCATATTATAAAGACATGGCGGGAAAAAATCTATTTTAATGCAGTGCTTCTAGTACAATCTGAGACCCACTTTATATCGGATATCACCCAGCCAGTGGAGATCGCTGATTTTTTAAAGAAAACAGACCTTAAACGTGCTTATTTTTCCTTTGGCATAGTTTGCCGGAAGCGATTAACCCAGGTTACTGGCAAATTAAAAGTCCTATTAGCATGCTTCAGCATATACCTCAAAATCCCAGGATGTCTTGATTTCACCTCAACAACATATCTGAATGTAATATTATTAAAACTTTTAACAATTAATACATACCATACCTGTCTTTGGGACGTCTTCACCCTCAGAAATCACAATGTTCTTTCATTTGCAGAAATTAATCGAGAGAATTAAATAAAATCAGGATAATTGAGATGTTTTGAATCTATGAAAAAGTGCATGAATTATTACTAAAATGACCTTCTACAGTCTTATAGGCGTATCAGCAGTCTGATATCTCATTTTCTTTACAGTTAATCCTCTCTCTATAACAGTTCAAACCACTGTGAATGCACAATCGCGCTATAGCAGAAAAAAAGTCATTCAATAGTCTGAAACCGGCAGATTTAGAGCCCCGTAAGAGTTCACAAGGCTGATTTCTCATAAGATAGGTGCGATTTCTTATAAAATTGGTGTTTGTTTCAACATAAAGCCTAAGAGTACAGTTAAATTAGATGCTTAGTTTGTATAGTTTGACTTAAAGTAAGCAGAAAATAGCTAATCAATTCAGAATACACTAAATAGCCAATATTACTGAAAATGTTGTAGTTTTGTGGCAAATATTTTTGTAATAAACAGAAAAGTGCATGGATTATTTCTAAAATGACCTTCTATAGTCCTAATTATGGTTTAATTACTCAGATCTGTAGTTTAAATGATAATTGTAATAATTAAAATGATATTCAATTGACCACCTCTATAACGGTTCATACTGTTGTGAATGTGTAATTGCGCCAATCAGTCTATGGAAGAAAACGGTCTGAAAACAGGCAGATTTGGAGCATAGTGAGTGTTCGCATGACTGATTTCTCATAATTGTTTGTTTTGACCTAAAGCCTAAAAGTAAAGTTGAATTAGATGCGTAGTTTGTAGAGTTTGACCTAAAGTGAGCCGAAAAAAAGCTAATCAGGTCAGATTACACTAAATAGCCCATATTACCAATTTATTTTGTAGTTTTGCGGCAAGTACCCGTGTAATAAGCAGGATAATGTACATCTAGCCATCTTTATTCTGCGAGAACACCCGGCTAAATGTACATTATCCCCTTATTTACTTTCTCAAAACACAAGCATCTGATTTCTCCTCAACAACATATCCGAATGTAATATTTTAAATCTTTTAACAATTAATACATACCATACCTGTCTTTGGGACGTCTTCACCCTCCGAAATCACAACATTCTTTCATTTGCAGTAATTTATCGAAAGAAATAAAAAAATGTCAGGATGTTTCAGAGTGAATCTATGAAAAAGTGCATGAATTATTACTAAAGTGACCTTCTACAGTCTTATAGGCGTATCAGCAGTCTGATATCTCATTTTCTTTACAGTTAATCCTCTCTCTATAACAGTTCAAACCACTGTGAATGCACAATCGCGCTATAGCAGAAAAAAAGTCATTCAATAGTCTGAAACCGGCAGATTTAGAGCCCCGTAAGAGTTCACAAGGCTGATTTCTCATAAGATAGGTGCGATTTCTTATAAAATTGATGTTTGTTTCAACTTAAAGCCTAAAAGTAAAGTTAAATTAGATGCTTAGTTTGTATAGTTTGACCTAAAGTAAGCCGAAAATAGCTAATCAATTCAGATTACACTAAATAGCCTATATTACTGAAAAATATTGTAGTTTTGTGGCAAATATTTGTGTAATAAACAGAAAAGTGCATGGATTATTACTAAAATGACCTTCTATAGTCTTAGGCGTATCAGCAGTCCGATATCACATTTTCATTACAGTTAATCCTCTCTCGGTAATCCAGAAACAGACACAGAAAGAGTAAACCTAAAATAAATTTATTGAGACAGCGGAGAGCGTGTTCTCTCTCTCCAGCTCTCTTTCCACCCTTTTCACAAGGCAATTAAGAAATCATGCTAAGGCTATGGAAAGAAATGGAAAAGACGACGCGTTTTTTGTTGTTTTGCAGGATCTGATGAGGGAAAATCAGATTCCCCTTTATGCAGACCACAAAATACCCTCACAACCTGATTCAGAAGGTCCATTCAGCGCTATCTCCTTGTACCAGAGCTGTGAAAGAACATAATAACACATGAAAAAACAAAAGGCCCGATTAGATTCTGCTCAACGAGCATCTCTTTTGGGACCAAGATCTCCGACCTCTTACAGAGGCGAAGGATTCAAGTGCAAAAATAAGCCAAAATGAGAAACGCCTTGCTAGAGCAAAAGATGACCACGTAAGAGGGAAAACAAAAGGAACAGGCAAAAATGTCAACAGTGGAAACAGGCTAGAAATATACAAAGGCCTCTTAGCTAAATAAGACTGAATCCTTGGTGTGCTGAGCAAGGATACAGCAAATAAGCAGCACTGTTTATCAGAAAAGAGTCCCGTCTACTCAGTGCTCGTAAAACATCCTGCGGACATCAACATCACCTGTGCCAAAGTTTAGGGTTCAAGTCACAAGACAACACTTACACATGTACTGAAGACAGTCGAGTTGTCAAAAATATTCAATCGTAATGAAAGATGATACATCTGAATGTGTGTATATATACATTACATACTGTACAAAGACCAGCAGAATCAGTACAAAAGAACTCTGTATAAACAGAGATGTGTACTCTGTGAAACATACCAGTTTGCATGAATCAAACTACATGAAAACTGATTTCCCCTCTCCGTCGTGTAAATATCATTACAGTATCAGTGTTTCTTGACCTAACCATTGAAGCTGACGAGTAGTACATCTTAACAGGCATGCCCCTAATGACAGCCCATGAGTTTCATGGAAATACAATAATCTCCCTCCGTAGGTCCCCGAAGGTTTGCAGGAGGGAGGAACATTGAAGCAGCAATGACTGGAATATTAATGGAGAATCTTCCCTTCAGTCCTTGGGAGAGTCGGTGAAACCTTGGCTCGGACGTCCTTCAGCCTCTTACAGAGATTTTGTTCTCCACCGCTGCCAGCATTGCACAGAAGCGCGAGTTTTCGTTCGCCAAGAGCTTGGACGGCTCGTCGAACTCCACCACCTGGGTCACATTGAAAAAAAAAAGAAAAGAGGTGGCTTAAAATGAGGAAGCTTTAAACAAAATATCTGAAGGAGAACAATGGACTACTGCTCAGATACTAACAGATGCGCTCAATTAAGCTAAAGCAGGGTATACACAGAACTTCTTGAGTTGAATTTAATACCTCTTACTACCTTTTTAATACCTTCAAAAAATGTTTTATACCAGCATGACTGTAGTGGTGTAAATTAAATATCCTTCCAAATTTTCCGCACGGTTAGACAACCATGCTGAACTGTGTTGATAGTTTCTTTGTTGACATCGCAGCTCTGTTGAGAGACACTGCCACTCTGAGGGTGCTTTCACACCTACACTTTTGTTTCGGAACGTGTCTCGTTTGCCCAGTTAGCGGGGTTTGTTTGGCATATGTGAACAGGGCAATCGCGCTCTGTTCCGCGCCAAAGTAATCGCTCCGAGATCGCTTGAATGAGGTGGTCTCAGCTGGATTGAAACGGACCCTGGAGCGGTTCGATTACAGTGAGAAAGCGATCCGATCCGAGCGCGGTTATATCACAGTGTTTTATGGATATGTAATATGCTTACGGCTATATGAAGAGAGAATTATGAGCATGGCGGGAAGTTTCGCGAGTCTCCGGATGCCCGCAAACGAGTGATGATCTCCCGGTAATCTCGCGTCTCCCTCCCGGTCCTCAAATAGGCATCGTCGCGCACCCTTCTCACCCCTCCCCACCGCTTCTCTCCTCAGACACGGCGCGTGCGCGCACCCTGTCAATCACCACCAAACCACCACCTCTCCTGGCAGCTGAGCAGGACGCTGCAAAATAAACCCTGACATGCTGACCAATGTGAGGAGAGTTTACTCACACGTGACTTGTTTTAGCTCTTTTGGTCCGATTAGAAACTTTGCAGTGTGAAAGAGAACCGCTTCAAGAGCAACAATGTAACAATTGTAATCTCTGTTTCGGAACAATTGAATCGATTCACAGGTGTGAAAGCACCCTGAGAGGCTCTTTTTATATACAATCATGTTGCCAATTGACCTGAAAAGTGGAACATTGGTCCTCCAGCTGCTCCTAAAATGTACATTTGACTATTCTAGCCTGCTATTGCTACCTGTCTCAACCTTTCTGGAATGTGTAGCTGTCTTGAAATCCAAAATGAGCCAACATTTGGCCTGAAATTCAAAAATTTCTCACTTTCACCATTTGATATGTGATCTATATTCTATTGTAAATAAAATAAAAGCTTTTAAGAGTTTTAAATTATTGCATTCTTTTTTATTCACAAGTTGTACAGTGTCCTAACTTTTTTGGAATCGGGTTTGTACAATGAAAACAGCATCTGAAAATCAATTACAGGGACAAATATTGCTCCTTAAAGGGGACCTATTATGCCGCTTTCTACAAGGTTTAAAATAACTCTCCAGAGCAGGGGTCACCAATCTCAGTCCTGGAGGGCCGGTGTCCCTGCAGGGTTTAGCTCCAGCTTGCCTCAACACACCTGCCTGGATGTTTCAAGTATACCTAGTAAGACCTTGATTAGCTTGTTCAGGTGTGTTTGATTAGGGCTGAAACTAAAATCTGCAGGACACCGGCCCTCCAGGAACAAGTTTGGTGACCACTGCTCTGGAGTGTGTGTGTGTGTGTGTGTGTGTGTGTGAAGTTTTAGAAACTAAATGTGGTGTTTTGGTGTCTGTTGCTTTAAATTCAAATGAGATTGTGCTCTTTTTAAAAGAGGGCGGAGCTACAAATGCCTGTGTGTCAGCATAGTGGCAGATTTAAAAACAAGAATAATGTCCTATGCTAATGAGGGTGAGATGGTCACTAATGGGCGGGGCTTTCTCCCTTTGATGACATGTACAAATTGAGAATGTCAATCAAAGCGTTTCTGCAGACTGTTTTTCTCAAGTGTGATTATAAAATATGTAAAATTAATGCATTTTTACCGTATTAGCTGCTTATATTCACAGACTGTTGCCACACAACTGCTTTTAAACCTCTTATAAAAGTGATTTTTGCATAATAGCTCCCCTTTAAAGGAAACATTAATTTCACAAACTGATATTTTCCAGCTATAAAGACCATATACACTAGTCGTCAGAGGGGTTTTGCTGTACCTGGCCCTGATTGAGCACCATGATGCGGTCGCAGCTGAGCACCGTATGAACTCTGTGTGCAATGGTCAGAGTGGTGCAGTCCTGGAAAGCGTTACGAATGGTCTCCTGAATCAAACAGTCGGTCTCTGTGTCCATAGCCGCGGTGGCCTCATCCAGGATCAAGATCTAAACATTAAGAGGAAACAAAGTGGACGACTGGGTTAAAAAGATCTGCTCTGCTGATCCTAGTTAACATGTTAAAAGCGCCATAGACCGTATTGAAATGCACAGTTTTATTTGATGTTTATGTTAATTTTCACTGAAATATCCCTCAAACAGATTTGGAACAAGTCAAGGGCGAGTAAATGATGACAGAAATTAAATTTTGGGGTGAACTATCCCTTAACAGTACAGTATGAAATCAAAACTAACTATATTGATTATGTTAGGCATATTGATTGGCTGTTTTTTTAAAAAGGGAAGGGGATACCATCTCCCACCCTCTCTCTTCATGCTTCGGTTGGGATTACGTCAAACATTAAATAATAAAAAAGCACATTTCAAAGCGCTTCATGGGAGCTTAGTCAAAAAAAAAATTAATTGTTCAAAAAAAATGTAAATTAAATGCAGGCAAAACTAGTAATAATCAAAGGAGAACACAGTGGGGGAGAGGGACCTGAAATGACAAAAAATGTCTATATATTTTTATTTGACATGGATTTTGACTCACCTTGCACTGTCTGAGAAGGACTCTGGCCACGCAGAGCAGCTGTCTTTCACCCACAGAGAAATTCTCCCCATTTTCCACCACCTCAGACTCCAGCTTTAAAGGCAGCTGAGACACCTGAACAACAGAGACGAGATGCAGGACACTCAAAGACTCAGAAGCGTGGGAAGAACGGTAACAAGATGGAGGGATGCGAACAACAAGTTATTGAAGACACAATCTGAAATTTCATTCTTGGCCTTAGGTGAGACAGACAAGACGAGGGACTGCTATTATAGATGGGAACCTGAAACCACTTCACATGTGAACGCTAGATTTGGTGTGTCTTACACATTCTTTCATGTGCGTCCTCTCCAGGGCATCCCAGATTTGCGCCTCTGAATACTGGCTGAATGGATCCAGGTTGGACCTGTTGGAGGAAAAAAAAAACAGTACAGTAAGGCCCCGTTTACACTAGTGTGTTTTAGTTTTAAAACAGCGTTTTAGATCAAAAACGATCCACGTCCACACTAGCGTTTTACCTAGCGTCTCTGAACATATCTCCGTCCACACTACGCCACCAAAAACGTATATCACGTGACCATTCGCTCACTCTGGGCTTGCGCGTTCTAGTATTAACAGAAAGCATGTGTCTCACTCTGCATTTGGTTATTGTTAGTCAACAAATGCCGGTTGAACATTAAACGCGATGGCAAAGAAAGCAAGAGAGGTATTTTTGTGGACAGACGACGAGGTCGAGTTGTTACTAAACGTAACAAATGAATAACTGCACAATGGCGCCTAAAACAGACAATAGTGCAAACAACGCTCCCATTTCTGTGCCCATGTTGTTGTTTACAGTACTGTCTTCCGGTAGCGTTAAAGCCATGTGTTATAGTCATGTGATAGAGGCTTGACGAATAAGGGAAGGATTTGCAATGACACAAAAGCCCCAATCTGGTAGCGAATCTCAGCAGTCCCACCTCCGTTTTCAGATGTCTCCGTTTTTCCTCATCCACACTGAAGACGGAGCAGCAGCGTTTCACAATGAAAACGGCCTCTCCAGCGTTTTCAAAACGCTCCGCTTTCAGCGCTCGAGAACTCCAGTGTAGTGTGAACGGATGGCGTAACCGTAGCAAAACTTGTGCAATTTAAAACGAAAACACATTGGTGTAAACAGGGCCTAAGTTTTGTACAGTAATAAATGCATGGATATGGACATTTATCATATATTGGAAATCATTTGGAAGCCAAAAACTAATATAATAGCTGATAAATATACATTTTTTAAATGTATTTTTAATTTGGAAAAAAATGCGAAAAAATATAGATTTATTTCTGATGGTTAAACTACTCAAAACAAGGAAACTAGAGGTTTCTTCTTGCCAGATTGTTCACAAATTGCAACTCAGATGCAATCCGAGAGTAAAAACTCCCCCAGAGTAAAAAAAAAAGCCCATTGTCGACATCTTGCAGTCCAGTTCCCATTTGTTGCCTATATCTGATTTATTTGCCTGTCCGGTTACAGCTCCATTGAGTTCAAATGTTGTTCAAATGCATTGAACTCTTTGATATGAGGGAATTAGCTCTGTGTTTTCTCTCCCACTGGTCAACCATTTGTAAGGCGACGCAGTGCAAGCAATTTAAACTTCGGCCCCATTTGCCGCTGACCTTTCCAAGAGCAGCTTATGATTAGTGGACTGGATTACTGAACAATAGCAACAACAAAAAAAACATGTTTACTGTTTCATTCAACTGGCTTTTCTCCTCTAACAGTGTCTGCTTCCTAATTTTGCAAAAGTGCCTCTTGTTTGTCATGTGTTAGTAATGTGTAAAGCACTAAGATTGTTTGTGCGAGGGCAGCATGGTGGCTCAGTGGTTAGCACTGTTGCCTCACAGCAAGGTCACTGGTTCAAGTTGGCTTTTCTGTGTGGAGTTTGCATGTTCTCCCAGTGTTGGTGTGGGTTTCCTCCAGGTGCTTCGGTTGCCCCCACAATCCAAAGACATGCGGTACAGGTGAATTGGTTAAGCTAAAGTGTACGTAGTGTTTACTCTCACCCTCTACAAGTTTCTTTCTTCTGTTAAACACAAAAGAAGATATTTTGAGCTGAAAGCTGAAAACCTGCAATCATTAACTACGGAAGTCAATGGTTACAGGTTTTCAGCTTTACTTAAAGAGCCCCTAATATGGGTTTGTGAAAATGAGCTTCCATGCAGTGTGTAACACAGCTCTAAGTGAATAAAACTTCCAGCTGAGGTTTAAATCTAAAAGTGCAGCATGTTTAAAACTACTGATTCTTTAGCGGAATATTTGACTCAGAGTCGAATAAACGAATCGAGTTGGGTTTGAATCTTTTGTTTGATCGCATCGACGTCGATACGGTACATCACCAAATATGCACTCCCAGTTCCGTTAAAATGTGCACGCGCTTTCCCTCCACACATTAGGGGAGCGCAGGGGATCACAGGACTGATCATGATGTGAAGATGACGACTGACAGATGAAGATTTGGCTGCGGGGAATAAAGGGTTCAATTAAATTTTCACAACAACACCCCAGAATAGCCAAACGCGTGCGGTTAAGATTTTTGATACAATAACCTACGCTGCAGCGTGGGATTCGTCAGCCGTTTGCTATTGAAGGAGCAGCAGAGACTATGGGACTTTGTCAGAATTTGTCAGTAACTTTTAAGCCGCCTTTTCACTGCACACGACAAACCGGAAATCATTTATTTCCAATGGAGAGCAGTCCAGGAGCTGTGTTGAGTTCCGATCATCTCCGTATGCGGAAAATTCGGATCCGAATTTAGCTGCGGATCCGTTGAAATATTTGAACTCCTGCAACTAGACCGGATGCGACCTGCCGACCGGATATGATGTATTCTAGTGTTGTCCAAGCAGGTCCGTGCGCGCGAGATGAGAAATAGGAGTTTATTTGGTTATTTTTTGAATTCTAAAAAGTCTATATTAAAGAAAAACTGTTCTGTTTATAAATGTAAGTAAGAAAGTAATAAAAATATATATTTTTAATGTTGTCTCCACATTCCCTCCAATATTTTAGCGGTCTATTTCTAGTATTCATTCATCCATTAAACTATGTAAACGCACAGAGAATAAAGGCCATTTCTTTTGCAGTCCTTTATTTCGGACACCGCTGAGAAGCAGCTTCTCCCCCGTGGTGCACGACAACACTGAAAATACTGTACGGCTGCCACAAGGGGGCGTATTCCGACAGTCGTGTCCAAATGTCGTGTACAGTGGAAAGGCGGCTTTACAATTCATATGGAGCAGTTTCTTCTTCCTCCGGATTTTAACATGTAAGTGTATTTAAAATGACGCCTTGTTTTGTGTAGTCTGCAAAATAAGTGTTTAATATGCTGTAATAGCCCCGCAGGGCTTGTATTCACGTATCTATTATAGATCAGTGCTTGTACTGTATCTCAGGTTAAATCTGAATAGGCTGCACACATATCACATCCAAAACTATGTTAAAAATGTGACGCGCGCTTCTTTACCTATTTAATTGCGCTCTGAACTGGCGATCCTAGGCTGTTTGCTATGGACACCATCAGCCGTTCCTCACATCCCAGTCAATTTTCATAAAAATTCAGCTTTTGCCACTGTGTGGACTAATACTGTATGTGTGTCATTATTACTAGGGGTTAGGTTTAAGAGTAGAGCTAAATGCTGGTGTTTAACTGCATTGATTTATTGCATTCCTGCATTGGGCTCTCACAAACTCTCTGGCTGCTATTTCAAAGCCATGGTGGGCGTTTCTCTCTGTCTCGTGCTGAACGAAGTCGACCAATCGCAACACACCTGGTCATTGGACCAATCTCTGCAGATTAGCTTCACGCTAAGGTGGGGTTTGGGAACAAATTAATCGCTGAATGATTCATATGGGAGTCGCTGGAATAATTAGGTAAAAATAAACATATTATAAGACAATGTAAGTGTTTTTTGACCCTGCACGCATATCAGCCTGTTGTTAGGCTGATATTCAAAATATGACTGTTTATAATGCATAATAGCCACTCTTTTAAATATGTTTTTTTATTTGGTTCAACAGAAGAAAGAAACTCATAAAGGTGTGGAACCACTTGACAGAGAGTAAATGGTGAGTAAATTGGTCATTTTTGGGAGAGCTATCCCTGAATACAGCTGAAATAAGTCTGCCTACCTGACAGTACCACTGAAAAGCACCGGCTCCTGTGGAATGATTGACAGCTTGCTGCGCACATCTGCTAGACCGATGTCACAGATGTTCACGCCATCAATCTTAATGGAGCCTCCACACGGTTCCACCAGCCGGTAGAGCACCACCCCGAGAGAAGACTTCCCTGAAGACCAAGCAAAGGACAGATTTAAGCATTTAGAACGACTGAACATCATAAAGATCCTGATATGCTTAATAGATATGTTGATTTTTGTCATTTAGGGTAAAAAAAAAAAAAGTATCATATTCATGAGCAAAGAAATATCTGTTTAGATTAGTATGTGACATGTGCTGGCATAATGAGTCCCAATGTTTAAATACAAAGGTTTTACAAATGATGGTGGCCGGGTGGCTCAGTAGTTAGCACTGTTGCCAAACAGCAAGAAGGTCGCTGGCAAGAAGGTTAGTTGGCATTTCTGTGTGGAGTTTGAATGTTCGCCCCTTGTTGGCGTAGGTTTCCTCCGGGTGCTACGGTTTGGGTTTCTTTCTTCAGTTGAACACAAAAGAATATATTTAAGAAATTGTTAGTAACCTGTAAATATTGACTTATATAGACCTTTTTCATGGCTGCTGCATGGAGGGCGCCATAGCGACCAGCGTCTTCCGGTAGAATGCTAAAAACTTCCGTTTACAGCGTGTACAACTGGTAATTTGCGCTCCGAAAATGGGTTTGAATACTGTTTTTAATGGATAACAGAGTGTTTTTGTGACACACAACTTAGAAATGTGTTTGTTAAAGCCGTTATAATCTGTCACATGTGGTTCAAGCGCGTCAGAAATACGTGAAAAACGTTCTCCTAGTTCACGTGTCTGCCGTCAGAAATACAGTGTGTGTTCCCGGCCTGTCAGCTGTTAGCTTAGCGGCTCTTTAACACAGAGAGAGAGAGAGAGAGAGCAAACCAGAGTACTGGCATGAAACTTAACAGGTATGAAAGTCGTGAAATTTACAAAAATGACCAATAAAAGTCTGTTATTGATCCTCTGCTGGCTGATTTGCTGTTCATTCTAATCGCGAGCTGTTTATGTTTTATTTTGTGTGTTGTTTTTACCACGGTTTGTGTTTTTCTGTCATTTCGAAATGACACTAGCCTATATTTCACTTTGTCACAGTTATTAAACTGGTTATATATTTGTAATAAAGAGAAAATGTTGACTTTAGCGAGGACGAGGCTTTATTTAAACTGCAGAAGATGCCGTCTGACAACGAGGGGAAAACGCCTCACAGCAGCTGTTTTCCATCCTATTAGATCGCATTTCTTTAAATGATCAGTCCAGGAGATGGAGCTGATGGACAACAGTATTAGTTCAAAGAGGATGAAAGCAGGTAAAATAGATTAAAACTATCGTTTCGAAGCTGTCCAAATGTGACTGTTTACACGCATCAGCTGCCGACTGGAAGTTCTTCGCATTCTCCTTGCGCATACACGCAAAGCATAATGGGTAATTTTGCATTCAAAGAAAAAGGTCTATAGTATTTGTTTTTAATACTATGGAAGTCAATGGTTACAGGTTTCTAACATTTTTCAAAGTAACTTATTTTGTGTTCAACTGAAAAGAAACTCAAACAGGTTTGGAATGACTTGAAGGAGAGTCCATTTTAATTTTTGGGGTGAACCATCCCTTTAAGAAAAGAAAGAAACAAGCAGGAGTGACCGACCTGAGCCTGTTCTTCCCACAATGCCGATCTTCTCCTTTGGTCGAACGGTGAAGGAGACTTTCTTCAGTATCAGCGGCAGGTTGTCTCTGTACTTCATCTCTGTTTGGTCGAACACAATCTCACCCTCCTGAGGCCAGTCAGATGGAGGAGCCTTGTTCTTCACCCGCGCTGGAGCCTCCAAAGACAGAGACTGAGACAAAAAAACTGAATGTCACCTTCTCTGTTCTCAACCCATCTAAGATTAAATGTCGGTCGAGTTAAACTCTTCTATCAAAAACAATGCAGGAATGGGTACCTTAATGTAATGATGGATTCTCTCCACTGAGGTGAACCGAGCTTCAGTCTCAGAGGCCAAGCGGACAGTAAACTGGAATAATCCTGTCAGCTGTGGGCGAATCACATAAACTATCATTCTAGATCCTTTAAACAATTTCTATATGACAATACAACCGTTTTTAGCCAGGTTTGGGAAAAATAGGTGTACTACACACTGCTTTTGATTTTTCAGTTCAAACTAGGACACTCCATTTGTTTGGAAATAGGCTCATTTGACAAGCTCCCTATAGGTAAACTGTTGAGTTTTCCTATTTTTTAATTCATTCAGTTGATTTCTGAGTCTGGCGGGAGGACGTTTAGCTTAGCTTAGCATAGATTATTGAATCAGATTAGACCATTAGCATCTAGTTCAAACTATTTTAAAAAAGGGGCCTATTTTGCCCACTTTTACAAGATGTAAAAGCAGTGTGATGTCCTTACAGTGTGCACGTGAAGTTTCAGCTCAAAAATAAATGTTTATAACTCTTTAAAGCTGCACTCTTCAGTCTGATCCAAATTATTTTGTTTTGCTGACTGTTGCTTTAAATGAGATTGTGATGAACTGAGATAATGAGCTTGATGATCATGAACTAGGACTGACAGAAAATGAAAATTTGTTCATTTCTTTACTTTATATACCATCACCGGCCACTTAATTAGGTACACCTTACTAGTACCGGGTTGGACTCCCTTTTGCTACTGGATAGATACTAGAAATATTCCTCAGAGATTTTGCTCCATATTGACATGATAGCATCCCACAGTTGCTGTAGCAGACATCGAGACTCATCAGACCAGGCAACGTTACTCCAATCTTCTATTGTCCAATTTCGGTGAGCCTGTGTGAATTGTAGCCTCAGTTTCCTGTTTTTAGCTGACAGGAGTGGCACCCGGTGTGGTCTTCTGCTGCTGTAGCCCATACGCCTCAAGGCTGGACGTGTTGTGTGTTCAGAGATGCTCTTCTGCAGACCTCGGTTGTAGTGAGTGCTTATTTGAGTTACTGTTGCCTTTCTATCAGCTGGAACCAGTCTGGCCATTCTCCTCTGGCATCAACAAGGCATTTGCACCCACAGAACTGCCGCTCGCTGGATATTTCTTCTTCAGACTATTCTCTGTAAACCCCAGAGATGGTTGTGTGTGAAAATCCCAGTAGATCAGCAGTTTCTGAAATACTCAGACCAGCCCGTCTGACACCAACAACCATGCCACGATGAAACTCACTTAAATCGCCTTTCTTCCTCATTATGATGCCCAGTTTGAACTGCAGCAGATCGTCTTGACCTTGTCTAGATGCCTAAATACATCGAGTTGCTCCCATGTGATTGGCTGATTAGAAATTTTAGTTAATGAGCAGTTGGACAGGTGTACCTAATAAAGTGGCCGGTGAGTTTATATCTGTAAACATACCATTAGTTATAAATGGTTTCATCCAAATTAGGTTGTGTTAGTTTAGAAACTATATGGCAAGCCTGTTTCAAGAGTATCTTTCCTGATTTTATGCCAAATGGTGCACACTCAAAGCTGGGTAATAAAATAAATAAAATCTCAAAACTTTTTTTTATTAAATGGTGCACTCACCTGTACAGCATAGGAAATGGCCAAGCCTGCATACGCAGGAGGAATCTGACCATGCATGAGGACAATCATCAAAGCTGTGATGCTAATGAGAGCCACGCTAATCACATCCAGACGCACAGCCAGCCAGCGCATGGCACAGCTGAACAGATAGAAAGGAGCCTGATTCTGATCCAGCAACTCCTGATACCTGCAGCAGAAGACAGACAAAATCTAGCACTGGAGGTCTTTTCAAAAACATATCGTATTTAAGGAGCACGGCAAAATGATCCGCCGTCCTCATTTACCTGTGGAGGAACTCGTCCTCTTTCCCGTACGCATGAACGGTGGTCAGGCCCTGAATGCTGGAGGCGATGTGGGACAGGAAAGGCGACTGTGTGACGTTGTCTAATCGTTTGAGTTCTCGAATGAAGACCCGAGAAACCACATGAAGCACCGTAAACAGGAGGACGAGCGGCCCGACGGCCACCAGGAACCAGGGGAAAACACTGCCGATCACAGCCAAGCAGAAGAGCACCAGAATCACGTTCTGGATGAACATCTCAGCCTGAAATGGCAGACGCGTGTCCACTGAGAGACAAGAAGAGATCAGAAACACAAGACGGGTCAGTGCTTTTGCTATGTGATGTAGACTAGTATTATGGTATAATTAAGCATTAAAAGACATTTAAGTATAATTTTCCTGGATATTAGCTTGATTGCAAATGTGATATGCATTTTATGCAACTGTTTAAAGACAAGAATATAGTTTGCTATATTTATGATATAATATTGCCAATATTATATGTTTTTGCTCTATTTCTCCCACAACAATAATTCCAAAAGTATAGAGGAATAAATGATTCAATGATTCAAATGAATCTGAATGAATTTGTGATTCAGTGACTCACTCATTTGTATGAATAAGCTGAATCAATGGTTCAGTGAATCCCTCATTTGAATGAATCTGCTGAATGAACAATTCAGTGACTCACTCGTTTGAATAAGTTAGCTGAATAAACAGTTTGATAAATCTGCTGATTTAATGATTCACTCATCTGTATGAATAAGCTGAATCAATGGTTCAGTGACTCCCTCATTTAAACAAATCTGCTTAATCAACGATTCATAGACTCACACATTTGTATGAAAAAGTTGATTCAATGGTTCAATGACTCCCTCATTTGAATGAATCAGCTTAAAAAACGGTTTAATTACCTACTCATTTGATTGAATCACCTGAATTAATGATTCAGTGCCTCAATAATTTGAACAAGTTGGCTAAATAAACAGTTTGATGACTCACTCATTTTAATGAATTTGCTAAATAAATGATTCAGTGACTCACTCATTTGAATGAATCAGCTGAATGAATGAGTCAATGACTCACCTATTTGAATGAATCTGATAATTAAATGATTCAGTGAATCCTTCATTTGAATGAATTGATGACTCGCTCAGTTGAATGAGTCTGGTGAATGAATGATTTAATGTCTTATTCGTTTGAAGAATGAATATTTAAAACCACACCCTACTTGTGATTTGAATTTTAAAAAGTTTATCCTAAAACTGTTATTTACAGTAAAAATATTTTGCAACATTTATCACAAGCCATTATATTATACTTTAGGTGCAACCTATGTGAAATTTCTTGAAATTTACTGTGTCAAGGTAAGAATGTAAATATAAAAGAGTAAGCATAACATCTTCTAATGTTGGAGAAAATTGATTTTCTAAAAGGCAAATATATCTGTCACAAGTGTAACAAACCACTACACAAAACATTAATAATATGGTAAACTTACAACAGGCCAAAACCATTCAAGTTACCAGCACAAGAACAAAATATTAGAGATTTGGTCAACAAATAACACCCTAAGGATATATTCAATTCCTCCATTAGGTCCCACCTTCATCCATATCTTTGGAGAATCTGTTGAGGATGCGAGCTGTGGGCGTTGTGTCAAAAAATTTCATTGGACTGCGAAGAATCTTCTGGAAAAGTTCATCATGGAGCCTCGAGGAAGCACGCAGAGTACCCTGGAAAAAAAGGTCCATTAAAACATGGAGCCCTCCCTTTGACATAGCAACTTTATATGCAATATCCATATCGCAGAGAAGTGCAATGAATTGAATTAAATTTGAGTGCTGCATGCATAGCTTGTTTGTCCAGATCTGATCGATCAGAGAAGGCCTTTACTATGCTTATCCACACCTCGCCAGTAGGTGCTGTTAGCTGAACATAGAACTGAAAATAAATAGTAATGCCATGAGACAAGAGAGAAAAGTCATTCATGGCATTTTGAAGTCTAAATGTTTTAAAAGTTAGTTTGTTATCATGATATGAAACTCAACAACAATATTGCATATTTTCCCACTATCGTGCAGCCCTGCTATAGACTCTACTGAGTATGATCATTAAATAAATTGTTATTTTTTATTTGTTGATAAAATATCGTTTTTAAAGTATTGTAAAAAATATCGTTATCGCGATATGACACTTAACAACGATATTGCATATTTTCCCACTATTGTACAGCCCTACTAGAGACACCTAAAGTATGATCATCACAAAAATAATGTTTTTAATCGCTGATAAAATAGAGTTTTTAGAGTTAGTTATATCGTAAAAATATTGTTATGGTGATATGAGACTCAACATCAATATTGCATATTTTCTCAGTATCGTGCAGCCCTACTAGAGACACCATAAAGTATGATCATCACATAAACGAATATTTTTTTATTGCTGATAAAATATTGTTTTTATAGTTATTTATATTGTAAAAAATATCGTTATCGCGATATGACACTCAACAACATTGCATATTTCCCACTAATATGCAGCCCTGCTATAGACACTACAGAGTATGATCATTAAATAAATTATCGTAATTATTATTGATAAAATATCGTTTTTAAAGTATCGTTAAAATATCATTATCGTGATGACACTCAACAACAACATTGCATATTTTCCCACTATCGTGCAGCCCTGCTAGAGACACTACAGAGCATGATCACCACATATATATATTTTTTTATTGCTGATAAAATTGCATTTTTAGTTATTTATATTGTAAAAGTATCGTTATCATGATATGAGACTCAACAACAATATTGCATATTTTCCCGCTATCGTGCAGCCCTGCTATAGACTCTATAGAGTACGATCATTACAAAAACTATTATTTTTATTTGCTGATAAAATATCGTTTTTAAAGTATCAAAAAAAATATTGTTATCGCGATATGACACTTAACAACAATATTGCATATTTTCCCACTATTGTACAGCCTTACTAGAGACACCATAAAGTATGATCATCACATAAACGAATATTTTTTAATTCCTGATAAAATATTGTTTTTATAGTTATTTATATTGTAAAAAATATCGTTATCGCGATATGACACTCAACAACATTGCATATTTTCCCACTAATATGCAGCCCTGCTATAGACACTAACAGAGTATGATCATTAAATAAATGATTCTTTTTATTTGCTGATAAAATATCGTTTTTAAAGTATCGTTAAAAATATCGTTATCCTGATATGACTCACAACAACATTGCATATTTTCCCACTATCGTGCAGCCCTGCTATAGACACTATAAAACTACCGACAGGATGCAAAATCTCACCTTGACAAACACAATGCCTCTCAGCAGTTTGAGGAGCAGCATGACTCCCATAGACATGGTGTAGACGGCAGCGTAGTGCTGCATCAGAGGGTTATCTCGCATGCTCTCGCTCAGCACTGAACTGTTGCCCACCTGCACTGTGGTGTTCTGTTGAGCAACAAACCATTCACAAACATCACCAATGGCCATTTCACATTCATTTCACAACACTCTGCATTTAAAAGAAAGGCACAAAAGAATGATACTTATAAATAATAAACATAATGATACTTCAATTAACTTTTGTGTCTGTATTTCACATTCATGATTCCAGTTATTAAACGAATGTATGAGAGTCATTATTAAAATGTAACATTTGTTTTGTGAAGCCAAACTAACAGTAACAACTTCAAAAAGAAAGAAAAGCGGCACAAAGCAAGCTCACAAGTACATGAAATATTTAAACACATCTCAGGTCTCATGGAAATCAAGCCTTTCTGTGTTTTCTTACCCCGCTGCCCTGCTTGATCCAGTAGCTGAGCCACCAGTTGCTGAAGGCTGTGCTTCCCACATTGAGGATGAAGAGAGCCAGGATGAAGAGGAAGACGGGCCAGCCTCCTAAAGCCTGGATGTATACTTTATACACAGCCCAGGGCACCGAGCCTTTCCCTCTCTCCTCCACCTGCATCAGCTGACCTAAAAACAGCACAGAAATGAAGAAGAGTAATTATACCTCCAATATAAGCTCAAGTGCTTGTGCTCCCCAGAATATCTGTGTACCCAAATTCACCCCAAAATGAAATGTACTCACTATTTACTCACCCTAAGGTGGTTTATGAGTTTTTTATTTATTTATTTAAACATTAAAGAAGATGAAAAAGATAATAAAACTTTGAAAAACGAGATTAAAACCTGTAACCACTGACTTCAATAGTAGGAAAACAGATATTATGGAAGTCAATGGTTACAGGTTTACAACATTTTCACAATATCTTCTTTTGTCTTCAACAGATGGATGAAATCAGTAAAGGTTTCACACAAGGGAAAGTAAATGATGACAGAATGTTCGTTTTTGGAAGATCTATCCCTTTAACCATACACACACACACATAAGCCACATGTGCTTTTAAAATGTTTTTGCACTACTTATGTTGTCCACAAGGTGTCAGCACTGAACCACACTGCTGTTTAACAGTCAGAAATGAACTGAGATGGAACTGAACACAGAACAACAAACTACTGAAGAGGGCTTGTGTGAGGGGATTAAATGATGACCAAAACTATATTTTAAGCTAGTACAAAGACTTGTGATGCTCATAACTTGAAAAATAATCTTTCTAATTTGAATGAGAAAGCCTGTGCTTTTAAAGAGCCCTTATTATGCGTTATAAAAGGTCATATTTTGGTTTTGGGGGTCTCCAACAACAGGCTGATATGCATGCAAAGTCAAAAAACACTTTCATTGTCTTATAATATGCATTTATTTTTACCTAATTATCCCAACCATATATTTGTTCAGCGATTTGTTCCCAAAACCCTCCAAAGCGTGATGCTAATCTGTGCTGATTGGTCTAAATTTATCAAGTTACTTACACTTGTGAAATGGAGGAAGGAACTGATCCATGAACTGTGCACTGTAAAGTACCTGTCAAGCTCCCATACATTAATAGTCTTTTCTGATCCTTCTTTAACAAACGGTCGACAAATACTCTGTTGTAAGCGTGTAGATTGCTGAAGCACTCGTCAGAAAAATGACAGGAACACAGCACAAGGCCGGGGCTGTAATGCTGAGGTATTTTTGCAAAAATAAACTTCATCCACTGACTCTTCACAGCCTCATCTTTGGGTAGAGAGAATAACACTAACTTTCTCTCAAACTTCAGAGCACAGCGTCTTCACCACATGATTCAACCGGGATTTGCTACTGTGTTTGTGGGCGGGGCCTGTGGTTTCAATTTTCCCGCGTCTGTGCTTGCAGCAAATGGGCAGGGCTTCATTTCCGTGTTGATATAGCTAAAGATTCGTTGCCCAGACGATTCATTTGAACCACTGAGTTGACTCTTTTATAGATGAATCAATAGTTTTAAACACGGCACACTTTCTTGCCTTAGCTGGATAATTCACTTCACTTACAGCTGTATTACACACTGCATGGAAGGTCATTTTTAAAAACCCATAATAGGAGCTTTAATCGATGCGGTTAAGTGTAAAAACGATTAAATTTACCATCGCCCTGGGTGGTTGATTTTTCTTTTTTGACAGATCCTGCCTTGCTCTTCTCCAAGGGTTTTTTCAGGGAGCTCCCAGACTTCTTATTCGGAACCTGAGATGACAAAAAAAACCCTGCTGAATCACAACTTTCAGGTTCATCTGTGTGTATCTGCCAAAGCTGACTAAAAAAGCAGAATAAGCATTCATAACTTCTCCTTTTGGGTTAAAGAGCAGAAATAAAGTCACAAGTGGTTTGGAAAGACACGACGGGAAATGACGACAATGATTTCGGGTGAACTGTCTCTGAACTGTTTCAACATCTTCCTATCTGTTTTAAAAGCCAAACGACAACTTCACTTCAAGCTCAAATGAAATCTCTCTCATTTCAAATCTGTTGTGAGTCACAAAATCTCTATTTTGATTATTGTTTTGTTCATATTATGGAATTCAGTGCAATTTTAAAGCCTCAGTGAGATCAAAATGAAAGTTTTTCATGTGTTAGTATCAACATGTTAATCTGTAAGCGAGTGTGTGCATTTAGGAAATATAAACATTCATAGCTTGCCGTTTATCACTTCTGCCAAAATGGATCAACACATGTTGTTTTGAGGTCAAATCTCCTGATCAAACAAATGCCCTTAACTTAAATGCTCGTATTCATAACCACACCCCTTTTACCGTTAGTTTGCTATGAGGGAATGATGTGCAAAAGAGCCCCACTCCCCTACACAATATTCAGTTTTAGGTGGAAGTACATCAACATACTGAAATAAAAGTCTCAGCAATTTCTGATTCCTGCAGACTAAAACCTAATGTAAAAGCCTTTTTGGTGATGGCAGCTTAAAGACGCCTCTCATATGGAGAATGAAATCACATGCAATGCTCTGGCGTGAGTTTCTCACAGACTTCATCAGAGTAAAAAATCTTGATAGATCTGTGGGTCTCGTTTATCAAATCTGAGGTTTATTTTGTATTCTCTAGTGGATTCGAGTCAGGTGATTGGCTGGGCCATTCCACAGCTTGATTTTCTTTCTCTGTAAGCATCTGAGAGTTTCCTCGGCTGTGTTTTGGATCATTGTCTTGCTGAATTGTCCACCCTGGTTTTACCTTTATACTCCTGCTAATGTAGATGTTGGACTGAAGCAGTGAATACTAACTTACACTGAGGAGGGGCAGAGGGTTGCTGAAGAACTACTGAGAGATTTCAGCTGCTGTCTGGGCTTTCTCTGCCTTTCTACACCTCCCTTTCTTCATGTGTTCAATACTTTTTCTCTGTGTCACTGCATTTTATTACACATAACTTAATTTGTAAACTAATTAGTTTGTTTTATTTGCATATATGAATTAATTTGGATGTTACCAACATCAGGTGAAAATTTCAAATCAACAGCACTTTTAGAAACAAGTTTTCTGAGAAAAAATAGTGTTAAATACTTATTTCCCCCTCTGTATACCATCAAACTACAGCAGTTCCAATAGTGCTTGTGGTTTGTCATGACATGCAGGTAAATAAAAGATTATTTGTCTGACTAAGGCGATAATGACCTCGATGATGGGCGTTTCTCCGAGCTGAAGGTTGTTGAACATGGCGGCGTAATCTCCATTCACATTCATCAGGTCCTCATGACTGCCCTGCTCTGTGATGCTACCGTCACGCATGACGATCACGTCATCACAGTCCACCAGATACTGACAATAGAAGAGGCTAAAATTAGCAAATTGTCATAAACACAGTAATCACAAACCTTCACATATTTATATATATCAAAGGCTTTTTTTTAAAGAAAACTCTAATATGGAGAATGAAGTCACATGCATTGCTAGTTTAAAAATCTTGATGTTCTGTGGGTGTCGTTTATCAAATCTGATCTTTATTTTGAATTCTCTATTGGATTCAAGTCAGGTGATTGGCTGGGCCATTCTACAGCTTGATTTTCTTTCTCTGTAAGCATCTGAGCGTTTCCTCGGCTGTGTTTGCATCATTGTCTTGCTGAAATGTCCACCCTGGTTTCATCTTCATCCTCTTGTTAATGTAGATGTTGGACTGAAGCAGCTCATATTCATTTACACCGAGGAAGGGCAGACGGTTGCTGAAGAACTACTGAGAGATTTCAGCTGCTGTCTGGGCTTTCCTTGCCTTTCTACACCTCCCTTTCTTCATGTGTTCAACACTTTTTCCCTGTGTCATTTCATTTTATTGCACATAACTTTATTTGTACACTAAATAGATTTGTTTTATTTCCATGTATGGATTTCTTTGGTCGTTACAAACATTCGGTAAAACATTTAATTCAACAGCACCTTTAGAAACGTGTTTTCTGAGAAAAATATTGACGTGTTCAATACTTTTTTCCCCCACTGTATATGAGCAAATTGAAATGTAAAAATGTATTTGTTGTACTCTTCCATTCACTGCTCTCTGAGTTTACCACACTATGATGACATCTGCTGCTGAGAAACCCGGTAATGTAACAACGGTTCATTCACATGGCTCAAAAAAAAAAATCTCTCTAATGTACCTGTAGCTGATGAGTGACGAAGATGACGGTCTTTCCACGCAGCTGCTTCTTAATGGCGTTGTTGAAAATGTGATTTCCCACATGTGCATCCAGAGCACTTAAAGGGTCATCCAAAATGTAAATGCCTCTGTTGCTGTATAAAGCTCGAGCCAGGCTTATCCGCTGCCGCTGACCTCCGCTCAGGTTGGCACCACGTTCTCCAATCTGACAGAGAGAATCACAATGTTTACTAAAATTGTCCCAATTATACATTTAAAGTACAAAGTACTAAGTAAATCAAAACTAACCGTGTGATTTTGTTAGCTCACATTGCTAGTTTTGTGGTGAACAGTTCATTTGTGTATGTCATTAAAAACAATAATTGAAATTAAAATTAAAATGTAAAAAATGCACTTCCTGTTAAATTCTCTAATGACGTCTGTCTGAGGTATTGGGCGTGACTAACATGACTAACTGTCAAAGCTCACCCAGTTCATATGGACTTTAATAACAGTTTCCAGGAAAATAAGCATATTATAATACTATTCGTAGCTCAGGTAGAAAGAGTTAGTATTATACAGTTGAAGTCAGAATTATTAGCCCCCTTTGATTTTTATTTTTTTTTTGAGATATTTCATAAATGATGTTTAAAAGAGCAAGAACATTTTCACAGTATGTCTGATAATATTTTTTCTTCTGGAGAAAGTCTGATTTGTTTTATTTCAGATAGAATAAAAGCAGTTTTAAATTTTTTAAAAGCCATTTTAAGGTCAAAATTATTAGCCTATTTAAGCTATGTTTTTTTTCGATAGCCTACAGAACAAACCATCGTAATACAATACCTTGCCTAATTACCCTATCCTGCCTAGTTAACCTAATTAACCTAGTTAAGCCTTTAAATGTCACTTAAGCTGTATAGAAGTGTCTTGAAAAATATCTAGTCAAATATTATTTACTGTCATCATGACAAAGATAAAATAAATCAGTGATTAGAGATGAGTTATTAAAACTATTATGTTAAGAAATGTGTTGAAAAAATCTGCTCTCCATTAAACAGAAATTGGGGGAAAAAATGAACAGGGGAGCTAATAATTTAGGCGGGCTAATAATTCTGACTTCAACGGTATTTCAATACAGTATATCATGTCCTCTTGCCATTCCAAACAGTTCATCTTTGGAACGCAAATGAAAATAATTTTAATCCCGTCTCTTCACTTCTATAGTCTTTGGAACAATTGGAAATATCAGAGTTTTGAACACACACATGTCCCTTGTGTAGTTTTAAATGAGGAAAAGTGTAATGATCAATATGGCGAATGAAGCCCCGTCTTCTGCTACAGGAGCCAATAAGTGATCATTGTAGACTGATGATTCTCCGGGGAAGAGCTCGGAATAGATAGGACACTATACTGTCAGTGAGCACCATCTTTCGGATAAGTAATTTATTAACCGATTTTCGGTTAAATCGAGGTCCTGACTCTCTGTGGTTATTAAAAATCCCATGGCACTTCTTGTAAAGAGTAGGGGTATAACCCTGGAGTCCTTGCCAAAGTCCCTCAATCGCCCCTTACCCATCATAGCCTCCTAACCCTAACCCTAACCCATCATGGCCTCCTAATCATCCCCATCCACCAAATTGGCTCTATCACTGTCTCTCTACTCCACCAATAGCTGGTGTGTGGTGAGCACACTGGCGCTGTTGTCCTGTGGCTGCCGTCGGATCATCCAAGTGGATGCTGCACACTGGTGGTGGTGTGGAGAGATCCCCCTCTTGATTGTGAAGCACTTTGGGTGTATGATCATACACAATAAATGCACTATATAAACACACATTACATTACATTGTTGTGTTCCTAAATATATGTTAAAGACATTTAATCTCTTGCTCTTATATTTAAATAAACAATGCTGCACTTTGAAGCACACAGCATATGTTTCATGTAACAACATCACCCCCTTTGCAATTTGATATATGCATTAAGCCATATTGTTCAAGAATAATTACTCTTAAGATGCTTTTTACCTCAGTAAGGTCACCACTAGGCAAGATGGCCAAGTCTGGTCTCAAGCAGCAAGCGCTCAGAATAGCCTGATACCTGCAGCAGACAAATAAAACACACACAGGAGGATAAGTTATCATCTATTAGAAACCCCAAAATGATTACTAATATCCCAATGTCACTGCAGCTATAAATACTTCAACTACACTTCTTCAATGAAGCATGCGGAGGCGATTTAATGACAAAGCACAAGGTCGTCTGTGCTCGTTTTATCTTGTGCTGAGTCACGGCACTACATGCGCCATCCGCTGCTGCCTTGTTTCACTTGCTCAGCCCTTTAATACCTTTTTACGCATTACAGTGATGTATTGGAGCCATTTGGCAAACCAAAAAGCCCTGACGTGTTCCAGCAACACGGCCCTAAAATACATCAGTCTCAACCAAGTGTGCCGCAAGCCTACGTTTGAGTGAAGGTTTCGGCCGTTAGATCGCCCCCTGGGGGCTGGCTGCAGTACAAGTCATAAAGCCCGCCTCCTCCGTGTTAATGAAGGAGACTTGAGCCCAAATAAAAAAAAATATTACACTTGCAATAAAATGTCCCGAAAGATAGTTCTGGTCGATTAAGGCACTGGTTATTGTGCTGAAATAGGTGCAGATCTTCATTTTTGTAAACAGTTTGTTTTTAGCAGTAATTTAATGCTGGGCGTGTCATCGTGATTGACAGCTGTGATTGACAGTTTCTCAAAGCGCGGCGTCTGAGCTTCGGCAGGAGACTGAAGTAGACTGAAATGTTATTATTCGATTTCTGTGTTATTTTACCATGACAAAATGAGTTCAGCAGTAAACTATAGTTTCTGACATACATGATCCTGGTGGAACACTGTTTATTCGCTAAGTTCAGGGCTTTTTTCGGGCTTTATTAGTTTGCTGATACACGCCTAGCCACCCAGATAGCAAAACACAGTTCCGGCTAGATTCTCGCCTGCCGGAGACTTATCTCTTAGAGCTCAGACTGACTAATGTTACCTCTCCTGGACCTACTCCGGATGCCTGGACTCACTACCCAATTCCAGCCCGAGTCAATCGAGCCAGATGCGGCGGCCGAGCGAGCAGGCCGCGAGTAAGTTATGCGCTGCGGCCTGGAGCTGGCGCGATTGAATATATAAAACCCTCATATTTGTTAACGTTATTACATCCATTTGTGTTGATATGACAGCAAACGCATGCTGAGAAGTTCGGGGGGCGTAGTTGATTTTACATAAAGCGTTTGATTGGAAGCTCGACTCTGCTCATTTTCGCGGCTCCTCCTCTGGCTCCATCAGACAATCCTTCTGCGCATGTCTGGCTCCAATTTCAGCAGTCTTTTGCGACAGTTTGTGCCCGTCAAGCAGGCGTTTTGCCCTCAAGGCGTTCAATGGGAAAAAGGGCTGTCGCGTCGTCCATATTTTTTACAGTCATTGGTCTCAACACAAACAGGTGTGACACCATTTTAAATAAGATTAGAACCAAAGTTTGTTCTGGGAGTTGGGAAGCTTGTCAAGGTGCAATCTTTAGCTTGTAAACACCTTAAAATGGTCACTGACAATTAAATAATAAGTAGGTGTGGCTCTGAAGCTCCGTCTTTGACATGATGGACTAAAAACATGAACACACTGAGCGTCCAGAACTGATCAGATGTGCTCCAACATTAGGCACATTCAAATCAAGACTGAAAACACACTGTGATACGTCCCACATATCGCACTATTTAATTTTTAATGCATCCTTGGCCAAAGAGGCCAAGCAAGTACACATCCGGGAACTTTATCTTTGCAAAATGTGAACTTTAAAATTTAATTATAATAATTTTCATTATCTTTTTTTTCTTATACTTGTCTTATACTTTTTCTTATACATGTCACTCTGTATGTAAATGTGCTACATAAAATAATCTTGCCTTGCCTTGCACACTGTAGAACTGCTTTATTAAAGAATTTGATTTCTCTGTAGTGTGTGTGTGTGTGTGTGTGTGTGTGTGTGAAATCTGGATTAACATTGCTTTTGGGGGGGGGGGGGAATTAAAGTTAAACTTCAATTTTACCCTAGAAGGTACACTTCACCTTTTTGCTCAGTGTTAAAGAGTTGAGTTATACCATTTTTTATTTAATTCAACCGATTTTCTGTGTAAGTGGAGCACTTTTAGCTTAGCTTAGCATAAATCATTGAATCAGATTAGACCATTAGCATCACGCTCAAACAGAATTTTTTTTTAAATAAATTAATTAATTACATATATATATATTTATTTATTTTTCAATGGTGATTTGCAGCTGGAAGGGCATCCACTGCGTAAAACATATGCTGGATAAGTTGGCGGTTGATTCCGCTGTGGTGTCCCCAGATTGATAAAGGCACTAAGCCAAAAAGAAAATGAATGATTAAATTAATCCCCGAATTGTGTACACTTTGTTATTAACACTGTTTACATTATTATTTTTTTACTTAATTGTTTGTTTGAATAATCTGGGCAACACGGTGGCTCAATGGTTAGCACTGTTGCCTCACAGCAAGGCCGCTGGTTTGAGTCCCGACCGGGCTGGTTGGCATTTCTGTGCGGAGTTTGCATGTTCTAATAAGTTGGCGGTTCATTCCACTGTGGCGCCCCCTGATGAATAAAGGGACTAAGCCGAAGGAAAATGAATGAATGAAAATAAGTGAAGTGTTCCGTTAAAGAAACAGTATGACATTTTAGCCACTAGAGGGAGCATATTCACAACAAACAAGTGCATAGTTTCATGATGCCATGACTAAGTGTGGAACCATGGGAGTTGTGGTTTCCCCACACAGCACACGTTTCGTCTCACTAGTTAAAACTGGTTATTTCTCTGAATTTGAGCATTTTCTTTGAAACATTTGGGATAATATATATTCATTCATTCATTTTCTTGTCGGCTTAGTCTCTTTATTAATCCAGGGTCCCCACAGCTGAATTAACCGCCAAATATCCAGCATATGTTTTATGCAGCGGATGCCCTTCCAGCTGTAACCCATCTCTGGGAAAAGGGGATAATATATAATGTAATAATATATAATTTAATAAAAAAATCTAACAGGTTGTGCTATTAAAGGGATAGTGCACCCAAAAATAAAATTATATCATCAATTACTCTCCCCTCACTTGTTGCTGAACAGAAAATTAGAAATTTTTAGTAACATAGGTAAATCAAATGGTTTCCGGTTCTCATTGACCTCCATAGTGATTTTCCCTACTGCAGAAGTCAGGGGGGCAACTATTAACTTTTTGGTTCCCAACATTCTTCAAAATATCTTCAATCAAACAAATCTGAAACAACTCGAGGCTCAGTGAATTGTAAGTAAATTCCATTTTTAAGTGAACTATTCCTTTAAGTGAAGAACAAAGCATACTTCAAGTATATCAAGGCTTTTATCCACTGCTCACCTTTCTTCCTCCATTTCCTTCCCAAACAGGATATTATCACGGAAGGATGCATTGAGAATCCAGGCCTGCTGTGCCACATATGCAAAATCTCCATCAACAGCCACGGTACCCTCCAACAGAGTCATCTTGGATACAAAAAAACACATTGAAGTGGATCTGAGAATTTCCTAACAATCCCCTTTCACGCTAAGAACTGTAACTAAATACATAGTGATAACTATATTAGTGTCCAAACCAATGGACAATAATGTTCTTATAATTACAATCATGCACTATATACTGTATATTGGTCATCTATCATCTTAAACATAGGTTTTGCATCAGGTAGTTACAGGAACACAGTTATAAGAACTATACACCAAGATAGTGGCTGTTTCTCAATATCAAGTACGCAAAGTTTGGACTTGGTTAATTGGAAGTTCAGACAGGACACAAGTCAAGTACTTCTTCAAATGGAACGGCAGTGTACATTATAACGTCACTTACCTCTTCTTCGGTTTCACTGTACATTAACAATAAAATTATTTAATTATGTAAAGCACGGACCTGTAATTAATATTAGATTAATATTATAAATCTACATTTTTGATTTAGGAAAATGTACACATATTCATATAAATGTGAAGTAAAATGAGTTATTACACACAGACACCTGTCTTTGATTATCAGATTTAATAAACTACAATGGTAATTATACAAGTATATACACAATAAGAAATAAAGACATACACAATAAGAAATAATGATTACCTCAAGCAATTTGGTAAACAAAGACAAACAGCGTACAACACGGTAACATTATTAAAGACAATTATAAAAGTTAACAAAATAATACTGCCAAAATAAAACACCTGAGAACAAATAAGAGATTTAAAAGACCAAAAACGGTCCGTTAGATATGCACAAGGTGTATTGAATATCATGTTTTAACTACAGTGGAGAGATAAGATTCAGCGGTACATCTGAGATGGACTTGCCGCACTATAGGCTGATTTATACTTCTGCATCAAACGCCGGCGTTTGCTACGGTGTGACGCATAGCCCTTCGCCGTGACCGTCGCTGACGTGCACCTCTCAAAAAATGTAACTACACGTCGCAACGACGTGTAGCGTAAGCTCTGTGATTGGTCGGCTTGGTAGCGCTGACGAGTCTGGGCGGGACCGAGAGTCGCGTGAATGGTGCGAGCCTGATGGAGCGATTGTTTACAAGTGTGGAGTCCCGTGAAGGAGCTCTGGATGGAAAGTTTTGTTTTGTGTTTACCTCATAGTTAAAGTTGTTGCACGTCCGCCGGTTCCTGCCTCAAAATGAGCGAGTTTGAGCCACTTGTATAACCAGGAAGTGTTCAGGAAAAGCAAAAAAGTAGCGAAGAAACTTGACACAGAGGAACATTAACACCTCACTGCCAACTAGTGTTTCGGAAGTGTTAATGCAGACCAATAGAGAGCGCGCAGAAGTATAAATGCACAGCCACGCGCGTTGCATGCGCCGTGGGTTACGCCGGTCACTTGACGCAGAAGTATAAATCAGGCTTAAAGCTGCTCTCGGTGGGGGAGGTAATGACAGAGCACCCGCGGCATATCATCAAAGACGCACTATCTTAGTGAATAAACTGCAGATTTGAGTTTAAAACAACTACATTCTCACCTGGAAAACTGTTAAAACTTTGTGACACAGTAAAGGAGTGTTTTTAAAACCGTGCGGGTTTTCTCCTCCACTATTAGCGTTTGCTGGTTTAGATGCAATGCATTCTGGGTTACCTGAGCTTCGCAAGTTTGCACAAGCCACCTCTCGATGCATCCTTGGCCAAAGGGGCCAAGCAAGTCACATCCGGGAACTTTATCTGTACTTGGCAAGGTGTGAACTTTAAATTGGAACAGTACTTTGGCGACGGTTGATGACGTTTCACGAGGACAAAAGAACGCAAGTACAGATGAGAACGCATATTGAGAAACAGCCAGTGTCTAAGAACAGAACTAACCCTTTTCCTTGTTGTATTCAGAACTAGGACAGCAACATAAGTCAATCGTACAACAAAACAACTGCAGGATATGTTTACATTTTGGTTTGTAAGAGTTTAAAATACCGTCCAGGTGTTAGCTCACCCAATCCGTGTACACTTTTATCAATAAAATTCCCATTATATTGGATTAGTATTTAAGGTGCATTTAGCAGGAGCGGCACATTGCCTCAATGGTTAGCACTGTGGCCTCACAGCAAGAAGGTTGTGAGTTGGCATTTCTGTGTGGAGTTTGCATGCTCTCCCCGTGTTCGTGTGGGTTTCCTCTGGGTCCCCCAGTTTCCCCTACAGTCTAAAGACATGCGCTGTATGTGAATTGGATTATCTAAATTGACCATAGTGTATGTGAGTGTGAATGTGAGTGTATGGGTGTTTCCCAGTACTGGGTTAAAGCTATAAGGGCACCCGCTGCGTAAAACATATGCTAGAATAGTTGTCGGTTCATTCCGCTGTGGCAACTCCTAATAAATAAGATCTAAGCCGAAAGAAAATCAATAAAACATGCTCACCTGGCCCAGAATGGCAGAGATGAGAGATGTTTTCCCGCTTCCCACACTACCACACACTCCGACCAGCTTCCCCTAAACATCCAAACAAAGCCATTATTAGTGGAGTTATTCCTGGTCATCGCAAATCAATTAGCAATCAGCAATGCGAAGACCTTCTGGATGGAGAGGTCGATGCAGTGGAGAGTTCGCTGCAGACGTTGGCTGATGGTCGGCACGTGAAGAGTCTGATCTTCAGGACTGGACGCCATTTCTCCAGACACGTCATTCAGCAGCTGGCCGTGGGTTTCTTCTTCCAATATGGCGTGATGTTTTGGGACGTCGCGCTGTCGTCGCTTCTTGCGGCAGCCTCGCGTTCCTACATGAGGTGTGCCTCGGGGCGAAGGCTGGGCGCTGTGACCTCCCGTCTCCCAGGCCAGGCTGGCTCCGCTCATCTCAACAGCAACGGATGGATTTCTGGGCAGCTCACGGATCATCTTGACCTCGGCCATCAGGAGCAAACTCTATAGGAAACAGAGAAAACTGATTAAATACAGGATTTGTTTTTTGTTGAATCTATGGTTCTTTTTGGTGACACAGGGGCTCAGTGGTTAGCAATGTTGCCTCACAGCAAAAAGGTCGCTGGTTTGAGTCCTGGCTGGGTCAGTTGGAAATTCTATGTGGAGTTTGCATGTTCTCCCCGTGCTGGGTTTCCTCCGAGTGCTCCCGGTTATCCAAAGACATGCTCTATAAGGTTAATTGAATAAACTAAATAGGCTAAAGTGTATGAGTGTGTATGGGTGTTTCCCAGTACTGGGTTGCGGCCGGAAGAGCATTTGTTGTGTAAAACATGGCAGAATAGTTGGCGGTTCATTCCGTTGTGGCAAAAATTGACTAAACCGAAGCAAAATAAACTAATAAACACAATGCACTGCGAGTTAAGAACTATTCATTCATTCATTTTCTTGTCGGCTTAGTCCCTTTATTAATCCGGGGTCGCCACAGCGGAATGAACCGCCAACTTATCCGGCAAGTTTTTACGCAGCGGATGCCCTTCCAGCCACAACCCATCTCTGAGAAACATCCACACAAACACTCATACACTAAGGACAATTGAGTCTACCCAATTCACCTGTACCACATATATTTGGACTGTGGGGGAAACCGGAGCAACCGGAGGAGACCCACGCAAACGCAGGGAGAACATGCAAACTCCACACAGAAACGCCAACTGAGCCGAGGTTCGAACCAGCAACCCAGCGACCTTCTTGCTGTGAGGCGACACCACTACCTACTGCGCCACTGCTTCGCGAGTTAAGAACTAACAATAAACAATTTAATTATCTGATTAAATTAACAAATATGAAAAAATACTGTCTTAAATGTATCGTTCAAGTTGAACTTTAGCATGAAATAAACTTTACTTAGAGTGCAGCTCTCGCACAAGTCATGTAAAATGACTTCATGAGATTTTCAATATCTGCATGATCAGAGCTGGATGGCATCTGAAGCTTATTCAGGCCATTACTCAAGATCATCCATGTGGAGCGAATCAAACACACCTGAATGACAACACCTGCTCCAATATCTGGATCTACAGGAACAGGATCCCTTCAGAAAAGCATTCAACCCATACTCTTATAGACCATTTTGAAGGATGTAAACAATTACAAGGATCCTAATGTATTTCCTGTTTTACATATTTAATTACCAGAGGCTCAGACAATCCAGAAAGCTCAACATGTTGATTAATAATGCTATGATGGCTGTTTTAACGTTAAGTTATGATTAAATTGCCTCTTGTTACAGTTATGAAATAGTTTGACAACAAGCAGGGCAAGTTTATGGACCAATGACATCACCATTGAAATGGTCTTAAGACAGAGACAAAACCTTGACAAATAAACAACCCAGGGTCATTGTAGATATGTACCCCTGTACACATTTCTGGAGAGCTCAAAATATGTCCCCGGAGGTTTTTTTTTTGCAGTTTTTGTTTTCACGAATCCACCAGAGGTCGCTGTGTACGCTTTATAAGATGTTAAATTTCCCTCGTGAGTGCCAATTGCGCCTGCTCGTCTTTTGTAAATCCACCTGACGCCACTGTCGACTGACTGCCTGCCGGACCAATGCCTCACCGACCCCCTAACTGATGGTGTTTACAAAAGCATCGATTGACTCGCCCACCCAATTCCATAAACCCAACCAACAGTGTTTTCAAAAGCAATCCAGAAAAAGAAAAGTCCTCACCGCTGTTTGATTTTTACCATGTTTTTAGATTTTACCACATTCTCACCCAGTCATTTCCTTGTTTATTTTATTCTTTGCTTTTGTTTTACCTGCTTTTTGGAATCGTTTTTCACCAGACTCAAATCCTGTCTTTGTGATCAACTATGCTCCGCGTCTCAAGTCTGCTGACATATTTGGTTAGCCACTGGACAAACTGGTAACAGCGGAAAAGCCGTCCACATGGCGGTAAGCGGTCAGCTGGTAGCCCGAAAAGGAACAGAAGCCGGCGGCAGTGTCATACCACCCCATAGCGTAATACATACATAATTCGCGCTCTCCAGAAATGTATACAGGGGTACGTATCTAAAATGAGCCTGTGTTTTAACTGAAACCAGGACAGAAATCTTACCTTAAATCTGTCGATGGCGACAGAAGCCTCAGAGAGAGACTTGACAGAAAAGGGAGTGACCTTCAACGCAAACGTCATGGCATTGAAAACAGTGACGACAGTAAATGCCTGCAAACAAACAAAAATATTAAGTAAATCATCAAAGTATGAATACAATAACACAAATCAAAACAGGCATTGTGACGTTACCTGTGCCGCAGTGAGGTCATAACCGAGCAACATGTGGGTGGAGAATGTGGCCACGCTGGCGATCACCACCACGATAGGTGCCACGCCAACTGTAATGCTCTGAAAATACCCTGTTCGTTCCAGGATCTGCCGCTCCTCATCTCTTATTCCTGTTGGACAGTATGCAGTAATTAGCAGATGTAAGCATACAAATAAGCCAAATCAGTGTTTTCATCTTTAAGAATGACAAAAAAAACATGTTAACTAAAATTTTGTTTCAGTATTTTCATTTTTAAATAAACTATGTAGATATGTTTCGTTTGCACTTCATTTTAGTCAAGCTATACTTACACTTATCATAATAATTATCACTTATTTAATAATTAATTGTATTAACTCTTCACTACCTGACCAAAGTCTTGTCGCCTACCCAAGTTTTAGGAACAACAATAACTTGACTTCTAGTTGATCACTTGGTATCAGAAGTGGCTTATATGAAAGGCAAAGGCCTCTAGATGACGCTTATTTGACCAAAATAAAATGTGATCATGCCTTGATTTCTAATGATTTAATTAGGACAGTAAGGTCTGACTTTAGTGAGACAAAAGTCTTGTCACTTCACAGAAATAATGTCCAATATAGAATATAAAGTCATGCTGCAGTGGAGAAGGAATGAATATTGTGTCTGACTCCATCATGAGCTTGGAGGGCTGCATCCATACATCTCTGCAATGACTCTAATCACTTATTAATAAAGTCATCTGGAATGGCGAAGAAAGCGTTCTTGCAGGACTCCCAGAGTTCATCAAGATTCTTTGGATTCATCTTCAATGCCTCCTTCATCTTACCCCAGACATGCTCAATAATGTTCATTTCTGGTGACTGGGCTGGCCCTGGAGAACCTTGACCTTGTTTACTTTCAGGAACTTTGATGTGGAGGCTGAAGTATGAGAATGAGCGCTATCCTTATTACCTGCCTCTTATTAAGTTATTAACTGTTTATTAGCACTTATAATGTATGATCTTATTTTACATTTCTAATACCTAAATCCAGCCACTACCTTACTAACTATTACTCAGCAGCTTTATAGTAGTCTATTGAGCTAAAAATCTTAGTTAATGATGTGTTAATAGCATGAATTGTACATTCAAATAAAGTCTGAGCAGATTATTATATAAATGACAGTAAGATAATAAAGGATACACTTGCTAACACTGAGCAAAGCATTCAAATCAATACAAAAGACAGCAACTTACTTCTGACAGCTTGTGAGAAAGCCTTAACCCAGGCGTACATCTTAATGAATTTGATGTAGTTCAAAATCTCGTTCATCTTTTGCACGCGCTGGTCAGTCACAGCGACTCCCTTCCTCCTGAAGTACGCCGTCAGCCTGGAGCTAAACATCTACCAGCACCAACAAACAAAAACAATAGCATTACAGCAAATATTTCTATTCAATTTTATCTGTATAGAATGAACTTTAACTAATTAACTAGTAACTATTAGCTTTTAAAGTTGAGCTTCAATTAAATAATAGTTTTGAAGTTAAGATTATTAGTTACCATAACTTTATTAGTAACTAGTATAATATACAAGTTGTTATTTTATATATATATATATAAAGCAATTTTTATATATATAAAAACCTGCAGTTTTATAGTATATATGTGATGTTTATGCGCACATGTTCAGGGATTAAGTGTTAAGTGTATAGTGCATCTGGAAAGTATTTATAGCGCTTCACTTTTTCCACATTTTTTATGTTACAGCCTTATTCCAAGATAGATCAAATTTATTTATTTCCTCAACATTCTACACACAATCCCCCATAATGACAACTTGAAAAAAAGAGTTTTTGAAATTGTTGCAAATTTATTAAAAACAAAAAATCTGAAAAATCACATGTACATCAGTATTAACAGCCTTTGCTCAATACTTCGTTGATGCACCTTTGGCAGCGATTAAAGCCTCAAGTCTTATTGAATATGATGCCACAAGCTTGGCACACCTGTCTTTGTGAATTTTTGTCCATTCCTCTTTGCAGTACCTCTCAAGCTCTATCAGGTTGGATGGAAAGTGACGGTGTACAGCCATTTTCAGATCTCTCCAGAAATGTTTAATAGGATTTAGGTCTGGGCTCTGGCTGGGCCACTCAAGGACATTCACCGAATTGTTGTGAAGCCACTCCATTGATATTTTGGCTGCGTGCTTTGAGTCATTGTCCTGCTGGAAGATGAACCGTCGCCCCAGTCTGAGGTCAGAAGCACTCTGAAGCAGGTTTACATTCAGGATGTCTCTGTACATTGCTGCATTCATCTTCCCTCTATTCTGACTAGTCCTCCAGTTCCTGTTGCTGAAAAACCACCACCACCATGAATTTAGTTTCTTATGGTTTGAGAGTCCTTCAGATGCCTTTTGGCAAATTCCAGGCGGGGAGTGGCTTCCGTCTGGCCACTCAACCAAACAGGCCTGATTGGTGGATTGCTGCACAGATGGTTGTCCTTCTGTAAGGTTCTCCTCTCTCAACAGAAGAACGCTGGAGCTCAGACAGAGTGACCATCAGGTTATTGATCACCTCCCTGACTCAGGCCCTTCTGATACTGATGCACATGTGATTTTTCAGCTTTTTTATTTTTAAGAAATTTGCAACAATTTCAAAAACTCTTTTTTTCACATTGTCATTATGGGGGATTGTGTGTAGAATGTTGGGGAAATAAATTAATTTAATGCATTTAATCCGCTATGAATACTTTCCAGATGCACTGTATGTGCTGTCCTTTGTTTCCAATTTTAAGTACAAACAAGACTAAACCTAAACCCCCTCACCCTAAAAAAAGAAACTCACCATAGTAGGATAGAACAGAATGAACACGGCTGAGCCTAGCAGGGAAGTCGGGCCCAACACAAACAAGTTGTACGCCATTCCCAACACGGCCACCAGGGGTCCTCCAGCCAGCAGACTCCCCACAGCAGCGGCTTCAAACATGCGCTGCCCGTCCCCCGAACACATATTGATCAGCTAAACACAAAAGCGACACTCGTGTTACCAAAACGTCACAGCCGAACGATCATAAATTATATGCGGACATCACCTTCATCTTCCTTCACTCTTCATCTCTTCACCACTCAACACCCTAGGATACCTGCACCTAACCTTCCTAAATGTCCAATTCATTAATAGGAAAGCGCCTTATCTGTCCCTCAGCACCATACCTCTCCCATGCTCTTCTCCCGGAGGCTGCGCAGCCGCAGTATCTTGTGGAAGGCCATGGTCAGGATGGCTCCACGCAGGCGGGTGCCGGTGCGGTAGTTGAGCGCCCAGGTGAGGGCGAGCGACCAGGAGCGAATCAGCTCGGTGGCCAAGAGGCCCAGCACCAGCAGCAGGCCGTAGGGCAGGTCGGGTTCACTCCTCTGCGTGTACTCCAGTAACCGCCAAACCACAAACGCCTGCGGAGAGGGAGGACGAGCAAGGGGGCGACAGGACACAGCAGGCGTGACTGAGGATACAAACATAGCCGTGCACCACCACTGCGGTCTATATATATATATATCTTATTTATCTATAAAACATTCTGTGACCTTTCTGCATCATAAACATTCTTGGGCAGATCATATGCATGACTTTATCATCATAATGCATGACTTCTAATCATTGAAGCAACTTCTACTGAGAGAGAGAGATAAAGTCAGCCTAATTGATTACCTTTTGCGGATTTGATTTTCTCTATCCTTTGGAGTAAAGAACAAGAAAGACAATGAAAGGTTGCCTAGATATGTGTGAATCGTGGACATAACGCCCCTTGTTTTGTGGATTCAAAGACTTATTTTTTTACCTACAGTCACATCAGGTTGGGGTACAGGATGGAGACGTACTTTTGTTTTAACACCTGGAAATTAATATCAATTAAATCAATCGTTAGTAGCAAGAGTGTGCCGAAGCACCATGAATAACACATACAAAGCACACACACATTCGCACGCACATCGTTTAATCAAATATGTCATGCACATACGCAGTCAAGGATAAACTGGGAACACGGGCAAACCCATGTGGTTCAACACAGCTGCTCGACTTTATTAAGGAAAACCTTTGACCTTTGAGAGTTGAAACATTCAGTAATGTACAAAGCCATTTGAGCAGGAAGAAGAACATTGATCAACACTTGAAGAGAAAAAAAAAACACACACACACAAAAAAAAGGACAGTTTCACTGTGAGTTCAAAATCAAAATAAAAAAAAAAAAGCACACATCTAGTTCTTTCAGAGTCCGTTCGCGAGTAGTCATCGCTTAAAAGCTGTCCCAATTATTTTTAATCAAGGTTACTGGGGCAGCGATCCCTCCCTGAATGGCGCAACATCTTTACGAGACCCATTTACACCACACATTTGCCCCCAAAAAAAGTCCATGAGATTGCTCAAAAATCCAACACACTTGAGGACAAGAGGTGTGGGGTCTGAAAACGGCCTGAATCTGAGAGAGAATGTCCAAAACAAGAAACCCCAAACCCCACATGAGTCCGTTTTTTCCAATGAGCAAATCTGAAGGAGTCTGAATCAATTGTCCATTGGCACAAGATCCCGAAATCAGACATACATTGCACAATCACCCGTTTTAATCTCATTTCAAAACACACATGAGATAATTACAGAGATCAAACGAGAGAGGGGGAAGAGACAGAAAGAGAGAGAGAGAGAGAGAGAGAGAGAGAGGGCAGCAAACAGCATTAACTCTTGATCCAGCCCTGCGTAAAAAACATGCCCTTACCTCCCAGGAATCCTCACCGGCTCTGCCTGCCGTGTGCTCTCCCCGCAGGACACCCTGTGGAGTCTAAAGAATAGCCTCTGTCACATGTCGCACACATAGGGACCCAGCGACCTCTGTCCCCTTAACTCCAATGTCCCACCCCTGAAAGACACCCACCTGCCTTTACAAACCACCCCCGAGCTCCGTCATCAGAGCAAGGACAGGTATCTCTTCAAGGAGATGTTCTACGGGGAGATGCTAAATATAGACAACAGGGAGAAAAAGTCGATTAAACAGATCGTCATTTGTTTGAGAAGCCCGATTAGTCTCTCCACACGGCTGAACGAGACAGAGCCTTGCTGTGTCGCCCATGGTGGGACAGTGACAGAAGCTCTCCTTGAAGAAAACGTTAGCCTATCCTCCTTTCTATCTAGACTAAGCTTGTGCTACATGCAGTGCCCCTATCTAGCTACGTCGCACCCCATTACTTCAAAGCTGGTCAAAAGAATGAATACTTTCCTTATGATTTACTTGATTATATACACCACCTACAGTATATAAGAACACAAAACAAAACACCTGGTACCTGGAAGGCAACAAGCAAACAGAAATTTGCACAGTAATAGAGCAGCAGTTGTTGTTTTTTGGACAGGTGTAATAAATTGTTTTTGCAAACTCTTACAACAAAAAATGATGACTATGTTTCGAGCCGTTTATCTTTGGTTTTTTTAAAATGGCAGATTTTTTAAGGTTTAAAAATATTTGAAGAGTTCATTTGGAAAAACAGATAACAAAAATCAAGTTTTAGCAATTTTCGTAAATGTGACTCTGGACGACAAGAAAAAGTTGCATGGGCATTTTTTAACGCAAGCTCATTTTGAAAACGTACCTCTATATACATTTCTGGGGAGCGCCAAATATGTCCCAGGAGCTACGTTCTTTGCGGTTTTTGTTTTACGAATCTGACAGAGGCCGATGTGTACGCTTTTTCAGATATCAAGATTTTTCTCGCAACTGCCATTCGTGCCTGCTGTTTTCATGTAAATCCACTGGAGGTCGCTGTCTACTTACTGAATGACTGACCCGCCCTCCTCCTTCTCTAAACCCAACCAATAGTGTTTTCAAAAGCACCGATTGACCCGCCCACCCACTTCCCTAAACCTAACTGACAATTTTAAAAAGCAATGCAAAAAAAAAAAGCCCTAGTCTGATTTTTACCACGTTTTCAGAATCTCAGCCTGTTATTTACTTGTTTATTTTTGATTTTGGATTCTGTTTTTATCTTATCTGCTTTCTGGAACCGTTCTTTACCGGACTCGAATCCCATCGTAGTGGTCAACTGCTCTCTGCGTCTCAAGTCTGCTGACGTACATAGCGAGCTACTGGACAAACTGATAACAGCAGGAAAGCTGTCCATACAGAGGTAAGCGGTCAGCAGATAATCACGAAAAGGAACAGCATCATACCGACCCGTAGTGTTAGTTTTAAAGACGAAATGCAGCCATACGCACCTCTGGCTACATAATTCGTGCTCTCCAGAAATGTATATGGGGGTACGTAAACACAATGAGTCTATGTTGGTATTTTTGTAAAAATTGGCAAAAATACATTGTATGGGTCAACATGATTGATTTCTCTTTTAAAGACAAAAAATGATGAGAATAATAAGTAAAGATGATGTTTCATAAAGATATGTTGTAAATATATGATGCTATATATAGTGTAAATATATCAAAACTCGCTCTTTGATTACATTGCATTGCGAAGCACTTAATTGAGTCAATTTTAAGCCGATTTTCTCAGTATTTTGAAATTTTTTAACCTTCAGATTCCAAAATTTCAATAGTTTGTCATCTAATATCTCGATCAAATATTGTCCAACACTAACAAACAATTTGTCAATGTAAAACATGTTTTTATATGCTCTAAATTTCCAAAAATTGATACTTGACTAGTGACTAGTTTTGAGGACCAGGGTCACAAATGATGTTTTTGTAAAAGTACTTTTCAGTAATCCACATTCATTCAGTCATTTTCCTTCAGCTTAGTCCCTTATTTATCAGGGGTCGCTACAGCGGATTGATTCGCTAACTATTCCAGCATAGGTTTTACGCAGCGGAGGCCCTTCTGACTGGAACCCAGTACTCAGAAACACCCATACACTCTCATAATCACACACACACTCACACACTATGGCCAATTTTGTTTATCCAATTCACTTATAGTGCATGTCTTTGGACTGTAGGGGAAACCGGAGCACCCGGAGGAAAACCACACAAACTCCACACAGAAATGCCAACTTGCCCAGCCAGGACTCAAACCAACGACGTTCTTGCTGTGAGGCAACACTGCTAACCACTGAGCCACCGTGCCACTAACACACAACTTGATATCTGAAAACTACTTGAAATTGAATGATCTGTTTTTGCAAAGAAACTCTTCATTTGTTTTTGATGAAAAGACTTCTTAAAGTTAAAGTGTGTCATTTCTACATAACCGGCTGCACCAAAGAGAAATGAAAAAATCCAACCCTTACTGTAAATCCCAGCATAAGGCTTAAAATGATTACAACTGCATTGACAGACACCGATCAATGACTGCACAAACTTTGTCTGGATTTGTCCGATCAGAGCATTTCCGCAGTCTGTGACTTTTGCCGTTGGTCAGCACTTGTTTTTGCCAATTTAACATGTTTAACTTGTTTGCAGTGGTCAGCGTCTGTCGGTAGTGTATGTAATTAAGCGCATTAGTGTCCATCTGCTATTTAAGCTGCATTGCTTCCAGAAACAATATTTCCATTTAGATTTTACCCATAGGGAATCCTCTTGGTTGGTAAAAATCAATAGTTTCTATACTGTGTATTTAACGACATTAGTGAGGGGAAGAACTAAAATCCCATTAAACAAGACATAATTGAATTAAAATTGATGGGAAAATGCAGAGCTATTCATTTAAACTTGCAAAATGCACCAACAGAAACTTTCCAAAGGCTTGCAGCAAATATAAGATTGGTGGAATTGCACAGCATCATTGCTAAGCTTTTAACCATGCGTTTGGCATAATTAAACATAAACAAAGATGCTAAAAATAAATTAAAATAAAAAATAAATCAGTTTTTGCTCTTGAAAAAATGATCATCTATGACAAACTTTGTTGTTGAGGTCATTAAAATGAATCGTGGTTCCATTTGGTGCCATCAGTGATGCAGAAATTACATATTTCAATCATTTATAAATGATCAAATTTCCCTGTTTCAGTTTTTTTATTAAGAGAAAAGGAGCAGAAAAGCTGTAATACTCTTTTGGTGTTGGCACACATAATTAAGGCACTTTAAAAAAAATAAGCTGATAATCTGGTTTGGAGAGCCTCACTGGACACACCGCAGAGGTAAAGCAGATGCCCAGTGACAATATAAACACAATAACACATTCCTTTCCCCATCTTAACACTCACCTGAGCATCTGAGGGGATGCAGGATTTGATTGGTGCATCTACAATGCTAATAATACACAGAGATAGAGAAAGACAGAGTAGGAGAGAGATGGATAGGTAGATAGAGGGAGAAGAAGAAAAGACACCAGAAAGACGACACAGAGCTGAGATGGTGTTACTTACTGGGCCACTGAAGCCTGCCAGTTGAGTAACCATAAGGCAGAGGATGGACAGCAGCAGACGCGTGCGGCAAAAATGCCAGACCACACGACGAAGAGACGCGTCGTCTCCTCGTGACCTGATTTCTTCTTCCCACAGTCCCGCCAGCCTGTTGAAATGCAGGAGTTGTATTATTATGCAATGCAAAACCAGTAGCATACTATTTTCTCAAAATCACAGCAAGAATTAGATGCTTTGTTTCCACTGAAAACTTGTTTATGCTTTTATGACCAGCAGGGTGGATTACTGTAATGGACTCCTTTACTGGCCTTCCCAAAAAGACAGTCAGACACTTGCAGCTTATCCAGAACGCTGCTGCCAGGGTTCTGACCAGAACCAGACAATCTGAGCACATCACACCTGTCCTCAGGTCTTCACACTGGCTCCCAGTTACATTCAGAATAGATTTTAAAGTATTATTATTGGTCTATAAATCAATGAATGGCCTATAACAGGCATGTCCAAGCTTGGTCCTGGAGGGCCGGTGTCCTGCAAAGTCTACTTCCAACCCCAATCAGACACACCTGGGCTAGCTAATCAAGCTCTTACTAGGCTTTCTAAAAACCTCCTTGCAGGTGTGTTGAGGCAAGTTGGAGCTAAAATCTGCAGGACACCGGCCCTCCAGGACAGAGTTTGGACACCTCTGGCCTAGGACCTCAATACATTACAAATATGCATACTAAATACAAACCTACTTAATGCCTAGTTAAGACTGCGTGATTTTAGCCCCGATTTTGGCTCGCTGACAGGTTTTGAGAAATCGCCGACAAATGCCTGAAATTACAGGCAAATCGGTGCTCGTGCACGTGAGTGACAATCACACAGTATGAACGATCAAAGACGCGATCTGAGAGAATCGATGAGTCGCTGATGCCCGTGAGGTATTTGGCATGCTAAACATCTGGAGCTGTCGGCGATTCAAATCATGCCGCGTGAATTGAGTTTTGACTGAAAATAACATCAGCGATCGCCTACAGCCAATGAGAGAGCAGCTTTCACTTGTGTGTGCGTGTGTGTATACCTGCTGCAGGCCAGCGGGAGGCTGGGGGAGAAGTTAAAAGCGCTCTTTTTCGGTTCATTTGGACCCACGAAATGGAGGAAAAACTAGTGGAGGTTTGACAGGACTCAGGAGCAACCGTGTCTGTTTGACATTTCATACAGAAAGAAATTAGTTTATTATCAACGTTGAGGAGAAATGGCTAATTCCCTTTAAACCCAGGTGAGCAAACATGTACATGTTCTACCCCATTAAAGGCTTCCTTCTCATTATGTAGTTAATAACAAAAGATATACTACATGTTTTTGGCTGTGAGACGTAGTTTGGACGAAGTTGTCGGCGATTCTCCCTATAGTAAAGTCATGTGAATGTCCATGTCGCCGAACCATCTTGCAGTGTAAACAAAGCAGCGACGAAACGCAAGCCCAGATAGTCATGCAGTGTGAAAACATCTGTGACACGACTAGTTTGAAAATCATGCAGTCTGAACTCGGCATAACAGATCCCTCAGATCATCAAGATCAAGTAAATTAGAAATTCCAAGAGTTCAGTCAAAACAGGGAGAATCTGATTTTCTCTACTACGCCCCCCGCTGATGTAATCAGCTTCCAGAAATGATCAGATGTGCTCCAACATTAGGCACATTCACATCAAGACTGAAAACCCATCTGTTTAGCTGTGCCTTTACTGAATGAGCACTTTGCTGCGTCCCACAGATCGCACTATTGTGTTTTTCTTTTCTTTTTCATTCTTTATTCACCCGTTTTAATTGTTTTTATTTTTTATGGCTTTAATTTTCTTATACTTGTAGTTTAAGTTTCTTTTATTCTTGTTTATGTAAAGCACTATGAATTACCATTGTGTATGAAATGTGCTATACTTCCCTTGCCTTGCCTTGAAAGAGCACAATCTGTATTGTACAGTGGAGTGGAAAAAAACTACTCGAAAAATTATTTTCAATGCTGTTCATTGTACCTAAACAAATCATGTTGATTTAATGACATTGTGTCTGTTTCTCATTTAAACATTACTGCATGGTGTTAAGGTTATTGCACACTGAATCCGAAATTTTCACATGTTAAAAAAAAGTCTATTCTGTGTCTATCGTATTCAAAACTTTTGTCCAACAAAAAAATTTTGGATCAAGTCCTATTTTATCCATTTTTCACATACGAAAAGGCATTTTGAGAGATGGTTTGACAATTCAGGGCCGTGGTATATGCGAAAAGCAACATCCAGAATGATGTTAGCAGTTTAAACGACTTTTATAAATTGAGCTGAAACAACACATTTCTTGAGGTTTTTTTTGTGGGGGGGGGACAACAAAATCGTCTTGACTACTTTTTTGTTTGTTTTTCAAACTATTTTCCAATGGATTAATTAATACAGTGACGAATTTAGTGTAAAAAGACCTTTAAACTGACATGAAACTGCACTTAAAAATAAATGAAAAATGCACGAAGATTAAAATTTGAAATCGGCCAAACCAAAAGTGAAAAAATTCTGGATGGACTTGACAGAAAGCTAATATTGAAAAATTCTTTGCAATTTATTGTTTTATTAAGAATGAAACTCAACAACTTAAATTATAGCGTTTTTTAAAAACACAAGTGTTAGGTCCCATGTGGGACCTGTTTGTATGTGTGTTTTTGTGATTTGCAGAGCCTGCATGATGATTGCAGATTGGGAGGTGGGTCATCCCACCTGAGACTCATCGTGTGGTGTTTTATAAGGAGTCCGGCATTCTGTCTGGGAGAGCTCGATTAGCCGGACGTCTCTGCTCGGCGCTTTTGATTTATTTTAGTTTGTGTTTAGATCATGAGCTCAGTACACTTTCATACACATGCTTTTCCCTACTGACTTTCACTGCTTTAAATACTTTTGTTAATTATATGTTTTGTTAATAAATCATTTCTCTTTTCAATTTACCTGGTCTGTATTGTCTCTCTAATGTTGCAACGTTGAGCCGGTTGTAACACAAGCCACTAAACTAACCACATTTTACTAAAAGCAAACGACTCGAGAGACGTCATTTTACCAGCCTTGCCATGGCAGCACAGTAGCACTCTTACAAGCAGCAGGAACAAGTATACTACACAGAATTATCTGGTCAGAATGTTATTTGAATAGACTTTTTTTTGTTGTTGAGCATGTCTGGTTCATGCATAGATAAGTATATGTGTACATGAGCTGAATTTGACCATGGCACACATACAATGTGTTTACAAATTGTTCTCTAAATGTCATCTCCACTGTACACTTTGTATATAGACTTTAATGCTCAAAGTATTTTTTTAAATCTGAGGTAAACAATTATCAATTTCAATATGGCTACATTTCACAAAGAAATAGACTTTTTTAACAATAAATAAAGCATATAATCAGTCCCTGAAATTGTCATTTTGGTTACACTACACACTTTTGGTTTCATTTTGGTTAAACATTTGGTTACACTTGTTTTATATTAATATTTAATAAGTCTTGTATCAAAACTGACCCTTTTAACATTAAATAAAGCATATAATCAGTCCCTGAGATTTTCATTTTGGTTACACTAGCAACCTTATTGTAATTAAATATAAATATCAATACTGACCTTCGACGATTGATCTCGCAGCTCTCAAACTGTGAAACGGCCCATATGTCCTCCAAAAACAGCTGACCCTTCTTATGGGCCAGCACGGCCAGCGAGGTCAACCAGTTAAATGTCATAAAAGAGAACAGGCCGGCGTTGTCCACTGGATGCTGATACCTGTGATGACACATTGAAAAACGAGAAAAGAGAAGACACAACAGGCATGGATTATTCCCTAGGAAGCAGTATTTTAACTCGGTGCCATTTGATCTATTTTATTTGGGCCAACCAAAGGGGGTCCCATGTGCCTTTATCAGGGACACAGTGTATATATACACAACCCATTCTGGTGAAAGTGTGTCATTTGAGCTTAATCGCTGCACTGTGACATTTTATTGGGTTATGATTTGATCTAAATAGGCCTTTTGTTCAAATTAAACAATGAAATCTAAGGCTGTGCTGTAAATATTAGTTTGTCAATTTTAAAGAGAGGTCATATCCATTGCTTTTTTCATTTTCTTTTTCCTTTAGTGCCTAATGCATTTGTTTGTGCAAGTTACCAAGCTCATAGTCACCCCAAAAAAGATCTAAAAGATACTCCCATCCTGCCGAAAACAATAAGTCGTTGTATGAATGCTGTAATGTTTAAATAATTTACCATTTAAAACACGTTAAGGTTTTCCCAAAGATGGGTTGCTGCTGGAAGGGCATCTGCTGCGTAAAACTTGCAGGATAAGTTGGCGGTTCATTCCGCTGTGGCGACCCCGGATTAATAAAGGGACTAAGTTGACAAGAAAATGAATGAATAAATGAACGTGTGAAGGTCATGTGACCAACAGGAAGAACGCAGCATCTCATTTCTCACAGGACGTGATTTCTGTTCTCGTGGTTTCCTGAGTTCGTTCTTTTGAGGACACCAGGCAGGCCGGTCTCCACAAGAACGCAAGTCCGTTCTCTCCGTTCTTGGAATTGAGAAACAGCCCAAGACACGGTTCAAGGCAACTGCACTTAGTGAGAGTCCGCCCTAACAAGTCAGTACAGGACCACAGACATACTTCAAACTCGCATCCAGGGCTGGCACGTCCATTGAGGCGACCTAGGCGGCCGCCTAGGGCGGCAGTATATAGGTCGGCGTCTGCGATACCTCCCTTACCACCCGCATCCTCACTTATGTCCGCGACACCTTCCTTACAACCCACGTCCTCAGATATATTCGCGCATAGACGACAGAATAGAGAGGACGGCGTCAGCGACACCTCCATCAGCACCCGCGTGTCCTCAGTTATATCCGCGCATAGGGCGGCAGATTAGGGGTCCGCGACACCCGCGCATCCTCAGTTATATCCGCACATAGAGCAGCAGAATAGAGAGCGCGGTGTACGCGACACCTCCCTCCCTACCTCAGCACCCACACGTCCTCAGTTATATCCGCGCATAGGGTGGCAGAAAATTGGTGCGCGACACCTCACTCCATTTTCATAATCAGTCACTTTCGTTTTCACATTGGGGTTGAGGGCGGCGTGATCGTACTCCGCCTAGAGCAGCAGTTCAGCTTGCTCCGGCCCTGCTCTCATCCAGTAGCTCAAAGTTTGTCGCAGACGCATTAATGAAAATGTTGCTAAATGAAACTAAAAACTGCTAAACTGCAGTCGAAGTCGAAAAAAATGACTAACGAAAAACCTGAAATTACTTGAAACTCCAATGGAAACATTGGATAGTGTAGTGATATAATGGCGTTAATCGATTTGTGCGATAACATGTAAAATAAAAGGAATATTTTAAAAGCAACTCATCTATAAACACCTTAATCATACAAATGCCTTATATAGATTAAGGTAAATATTTAGATTACTAATGTCCATGTAAACGTTGTCAGTGTTAGCCCATCATGAGCTGCTTAGAGAAACTTTATTACGTACTTGCTGGTGGAGCGGATGGGCTTGAGCACACAGACACTGTGGTGGTATTTGCTTCTCCCGGCAGCGTCCTCCTCCAACTCTTTAGCGTCAGCGGCATTGCCTCGGTCCAAAGAGAGTCCGCCTTCAGCTCTCGCCGCCGTTTCAAAAGCATCCTGGAGAAGAAACATCAGCAGATCAGGTGTTTTGTTGCCACATTTTTTTTTTGCACAGTGCATTTCAGCACTTTGCAATGGAAAGATGTGACTATGCAAAAAAAAAAAAACGTTGACAGGAAATGAAAGAAGACTTGTTTGTCAGCATGTATTGAGCAAGGACGAATATAATCAGCACAAAGAAAACAGAGGAAGGAAACCAGTCGGACTCTTAAAACCATGCAACCCATAATGCCTAGGAGAAAAACCACCATGCAAAGGGAACATGCAGTCTCGTGCTGCACGCGGCCCTTAAACACAGACAGCTGATGAAGCCCTTGAGTGTAAATTGCGCACACATGTTTAAGTCATGTGTCTTAGCTTAATAAAGGCTCTCTGAGGCTAGATGCTAAATGTTTAGCTAAGAAACATTACCACATTTTCCCACGATTTTATAATCCTGCATAAAAATCCAGCTTAAAACAGCCTAGGCTGGTTGGCTGGTTGACCAGGCTGGTTTTGGCCATTTTGGAGGGGTTTTGGCCATTTCCAGGCTGGTTTCCAGCCATTTCCAGCCTGGTCTTAGCTGGTCAGGCTGGAAAATGACCAGCCAAATCCAGCTAAAACCAGCTTGACCAGCCTGGTTTGAGCTGGATATAGCTGGTTTTGGCTGGACTCCCAGCTTGGCTAGGCTGGTCAAGCTGGTTTTAGCTGGTCATCTCCCAGCCTGACCAGCTAAGACCAGGCTGGAAATGGCTGGAAACCAGCCTGGAAATGGCCAAAACCCCTCTAAAACCAGCCTGGTCGACCAGCTAAAACCAGCCAACCAGCCTAGGCTGGTTTAAGCTGGATTTTTCAGCAGGGATTACTGAAGAATTGTTATATATTCAAGATATAGTTCAGCCAAAAACATTTGCTCACACTCAAGTGGTTCTAAACCTTTATACCTCGTTTCCACTGAATGGTACAGTATGGTGTGGTTCCGTATGGGTCACTTTTATCAGGATGGTGTCTCCACCAGTGTTCATTTTGACAGCAAATTGTGATTTAGTTTTAGTCTTAGGCCCAAACCCAATTCTACTTTTGTACCCCTTCTCCTTGGCCCTTAAAACCGAGTGTGAAGGGGATGGGCTTCAACATTTAACCCTAAGAAATGGGACAGCACTACACTACCAGCACACCTCATCAGATGTCATCTCTTGCTTCATATGAGATCAGACGATGGCGACTGCTGTGGTTATTCCGGTTGTGTTATTTTTTTGGTATTTATCTTCAGGAAATCACTGAATGTGTTTATTATGTTACCATAATGATAAAATATGGCAATACGATCGTAACTGTACTGTGTATTTACACCGTGGCCATATTTATCAATGTAAACACAAGAAAACAACATTAAGATTGTGGCAGACACTGTAAAAAGGTCATTCCCAGACACTAGACTTTTCTGACAGGGTATTCGAGTGTCATCGTGTGTCAGAATGTTGTGGGTCTGCTATTATTATGGATTATAGATAGCCAAATTTAGCGTTTTTTTAAAGCATGACGGTGAAACACGAACACGATTGTGAAACACGAACACGGTTGGGAGATTATCACTCGTTTGCGGGCACCCAGGAGTCTCTGTGCATTTGCGAGAGACTACTGAAACTTCTGGGAGACTTGGGATGTCTGGAATAACCTCCTGTCCTACTCATAATTCTCTCTTCATATAGCCATATGCCTATTACATATCCATAAAATACTGTGGTATAACCGGGCTTGGATCATATCGCTTTCTCACTACAATGATCTGCTCCAGAGTTCGTTTTAATCAAGCCGAGACCACCTCATTCAAGTGATCTCGGAGCGATTGTTTTGTCGCGGATTCGAGCGCAATTGGTGGTTTCACATATGCCAAGCGAACCGCGCTAACTGGGCAAACGAGACAGGTTCCAAAACAAAAATCTAGGTGTGAAAGCACCCTTAGTTGACTAAAATTTATTTGGCTTGATTTAAGTATAATTTAGAATGGAAGATGATTTAATCGCATCCCGCAACTACTGTAGATCAGTTACTTATCAAATGTGTGTGTGTGTGTGTGTGTGTGTGCGTCATGCACATAGACTGTAAAATATATGGACGTAGTATCCGTGACGTCACCCATAGGTTTCTGAAGAGCGCAAAAGAAGCCACAAGTAGGCGCGGCCAACCGTCGCCATTTTGGTCACGCGTCATCACACCCACGGCGGGATACCAAACAAGGGCAAAGAGGCGGAGAGTGAGTGGAGCTACAGACACCTGCTAGCATTTAGCTTGGACCTGGTTCAGACACACTTTACTTTGGGAGAAATGCTTAATACTTTATCACCTGTGACTCGTTTGTATTCTGACCACTTGTGCTTTGTTGTACACTATATCAATAAAGTGTTTAGCCTTTTAAAAACACTGCTGTAATACACTGAGCCACTAAACATTGTTCTTATGACGTTTTTCAACAGGAGGAAAACGCGAATTACTTACAAACACTTCAGATATAGTCTGTGTTAGTTACTGTAAGACTATTGATAAAATCCAGCACAACACTGTATGACAACGCTTCAGATGACTGTTCTAGAGCCTACAGCTAATCAATCTGACAGATTCTGGAGTGCATTACAGCTCTAAATATAAATATAAACGATAAATGATCTTAAATGAAACAAATACATGTATAGAGATGGTATATAAGTATATAACTTTACTCACGTGGGAAACGGAGGCCACGTGAATGGTTTGTGAGCACAATTAAGTGCCCTCAGCATGCCATGCCATCTAATAATTGTGGGAAACAAGTCCAAAAGGCAGTTGACTGTGTAAAGCCACATAAAACAACTCAGAAATACGATAAATAAGCCGAGTTCAGTGGCTAATCTGCAGGATTCAGCTGAGGTGACGTGACGGCGACCAGCGAGACCTAGCTGTCAATCAAGTGGCCACTCCCTTAATTATGCAAACTTAATATAACTTAATACAAAGGAAACGGATGAGTTATAAAAAAATTCACCCCCCTCACAGTTGTCATGAAGGGTTATATTACCTGTATTAACCAAAATCTTTTTTTTGTACCAGGCTGTAAACACCTTTTTTTCTGCTGTAAAGTTGGCCATTCTAACAGTGGGCTCAAATGAAATTTGCTCTGTTTTGGAGCCAGGAGCGGCCAGGACTAGCGGAATTTCGGATGAATTGCAGTTTTAGTTACTTCCGTATTGGCTTCCTGAGGGAGAGCGGGAGGTTGCCGCTTGGTCATGCATCACACACTAAAATTAATTCCGATTGGATATTTTACAAAAAACGTCCAATCATGTTCTCATCTTGTTTATATTAGTCAACAAAATGTCAGTATATTTTTATTATAGTTTTCGTCATTATCACTTAGTTTTTATTTAGATTTCATTGGTAGAAACTTGTTCATCAAGAAAATTATGACGGAAATTTTTCGTGTCACTACTGCCAGGTACAGACCAGGCGCAGCCCTGTTTAGCTTCAGTGGGCGACCATATGAGAGTTGCAGAGAGCTAGCTGCCGGCAAATAAGAGACTAAGCTGAAGGAAAATGAATGAAAAGTCAGTTTTTACTGAGTGAATATACAAGATATTAACTGAAATCACAAAATCGGGGAAAAACCTTTCATAAAAGAAACACTTGAATATACAAGATATTAACTGAAATCACAAAATGGGAAAAACCTTTCATAAAAGAAACACTAAACACTGAAAATGGGCTGATTTGTTTTTATCAGTCTGACAGGATTTACTACAGAAGCTAAACAGCCCAAAAATAAGTTTTGATAACAAAGTCAAACACTTGACCCCATGTGCAGACACGCACAGCGACATGCGCCAATGACCACTTTAACAAACCGAAATATTTAATAACATGCCAGACAAGAGTAAAGTTAGTGCTGCCCACAGCCAAGCTGAGACAACAGCCTATTATACGGGCCGTTGCCCATGGCGACGAGCGCTGTGGCGTTTTCTGCTGACATCCCGGCTGCGAGCGGGAGTCTGTGTATACGAGTGTGTAAGCAAAGGCAGACCCTAAACCTTTTAAAACCCAGTGAGGCAGAAAGAGCCAGCAGGATTAGAGCACTAAAGAGAACAGCATGTGCTTTGAATCTTTGTATAGTTTAAAGTCAAGACTGGCATCTTCAAACAACACCAGTGATATCTTTAATCAGACTGCGCTGAAGCTAACTGCTAATCAAAAACAATCTCACATTACTGGGTGTAACCAAACACTCGTGTCACGATTCCAAACAAATCATGATAGTGGACTCACAAGATACCATCACAATAATTATAGCCAATATAATGCAGAGGGTTTTTTATTACTTATAAGATATCAAACAAAATAAAATGCTAAATTTGGTATAGACTTAAATGGAGGCTAACGTTTTAACCATCAGTTAGCTCTTCTGTGCAGCTGCTGTTTTTATTTCCTAAAAAGCGTCAGTCCAGCTAGTTTGTTTCGCCTCTCGGCGAGTTTCCCTTAACATGTAGAATCAGCATTGGTGATCGAATGAAGAGAGCACTCTGATTGGCTGTTTAGTAACGAATCATAGCGCGAGAAAAAAAAGTGAAGCGACATAGCTTGTAAACAAGTCAAGAAGAAACTCAAAGAAGCCGGCTGTAACTTCACAATATTTCTCAAATCTTTGCTAACAATATGGATTATTATGTATGTGGATTATCAGACATATTTGCACGAGTGAATACCTGTGACAAAGAGCTTAGAATGACCAAGAGGCGACACTCAATAGAACGTTCCATTGCAAGAGCAGCGCAACAGACGGTTTCCACCATTTTGGAGTGAAAGCGATCAGCTGTTCATTGGATCTTGATGCTGTCGCGATGGCAAGCAGCTGCTTTGTTTTTAATTTATTTATTTAAAAAGCGCATTAAAGCTGGGATTCAACCTGAAAGACGACAATACAACACTTACTATCACAATCATCAGCACTTTTAACAATTTATTTTACACACTTATAATATGCTGTTGCT